CTTGGTTATAATTTAAGCAGGAGAATGTTTCTAGAAAAATTAATTAATTGCTCATATGAATACATTATTCTTTTTTTTTTCCTGCTTAAGTCTGGCCAAGCAGAATTCCTTCCCAAGTCCTCCACCACAGCCCTTTGCAGATTATCTTTTCCCTTACGGATTTTGATTCTAGTTACCTAAAGAGTCCTCTTGAGCCCTCAAGAAAATGTTCATAAATGCAGGAATTCAGGTGAAATCATTCTCTGACAATGCATTTTCTTATCCCTGGAGGCTACCAGTCTAGGACTGAAAGTGAGGAATTGAACTATGCAAGAAATGAGGGTAATTTGGTGTCTGCCTGTTTCTCTGCTCATTCCATTTTCACAGAGGCATGACATCAGGTCCTGAAGCTGGAGTGGTGGGTGTACCACTCACTGGAACAGTCGGTCACTTCTAGCACAGATCTTTTCCCCAAAAAGCTGAGTATTTTAGAATACATCATGATATCACTTGCCACCCAAGAACTAAACTCGTCTGCCACCATCTCTGTCTACAGAACAGGCGTGCTGAGAATAAACACCTTCCTAAATAGGTGCAATCTGCTGGAGAGGGGGGTGCATAAAAGCTGGCTTTGTCTTTGCAGGGTAAGTGCTTAACACAGCCAGGTCACAGAGGGGGGACCTCAGTGTGGAAATGCTGGAGGTGCTGCAGACACCCTTGTTCTGCACAGCACCAGAGTGGTGTCCCTGGGAGAAAGCAGATGTGTAAAAACCTTTAGAGCTGGCATTGGTAGCCTAAAGCACTGAGAAGCAGGGAAGTATTTGAGGGAGGAGATGACTGTGGGAACTGAACTGCACCTTGAGGTGCAGTTAAGCCAAGTGTTAGTGAACGGAAGGTGTTATATCATGATCAGAACCCTTGTCTTGCTGAGTTTAGCTTATATTGAAACAAAAAGAACACATGGCATTCTTGCATGCCAGGCTACTGGAGCATCTTGTGTTCCAGTTTGCACCATCTGCTCTGGATGAAGCAGCTCTGGCAGGCAGAAGGGAGGAGGACAATCCAAAAATCAGTGTTCAGCTGCCCAGCCCTTGCCTTTCCCTGCTGTGGCAGCAGCTCTGGCCAACCTTCTGCCTGCTTGCACCCCTGTAAATGTGGCTCCCCTCTCAGCTTCCCCTTAACATTCCTTCCTGGCAGCCTTGGAACTCCTGGCAGCTCATGGGCTCAAGAGCTGCCACCCTCTCCCAGTGCAGGGCAGCCTCTTCCTGCGGGGTGAGAGCTGCTCTCGTGTCCTGGGCTTGGTGCTGGCAGGGCAGCGTGGGGCTGGAGGGGCTCTGCTGGAGGGGAGAAGGTTCCATGGACACAGGACCACATCAGGAAGACAGGACGGAAGGCACAGTGCCAGCATGATCTCAGTGCTTGCAAGATGCCCTAAACATGTTTTTGGGAACAGGGTGTGATGGTGAGACCAGGTATCAACTGCAGGCCTGGTGTGGGATTCCCAGGAAAGCCAAACGCTGGCAAGAGCAGGTCCCAGCAGTGCCTGATGCTCGGACCAGCGCTGCCGGCAGGGTTAGCTGAGGACAGGAGCAGAAGACAGCAGGACGTGCTCAGCCAGCGGGAGCTGCAGTGCTGTGCTCCAGCCAGAGGAGGAACCTGGACTAAGGAATCAGCCCCTTCCCTGTCCTTGCAGCAAATATTTTCCCTGCTCCCCAATAAGCTGCAGCACTTTTTTGTCATCTGACTGCACAGGTTCATGCAGGTTTATTGATGCTTTCTCATAGATAAAACCCTCCGATTTTTTTCAGCCTCGCCTCCTTTGCTGTTTCTTACGCAGTCCCTGCTCTGCAGTCCCGCGGGGACGAGCAGTGCGGAGCCCTGCATGCTGATGGACACGGCCGGAGCTGCCACCCCGCAGTGCCTTGGCCAGCTCCTGCACTCCGGTGAGACCAGCGCCTGCCAAATGCCCTCCCGCCACTGCTACCTCCTGCTGAAAGAGATATAAAATAATGCATTCATTGAGCCAAGTCTGTCTTTAGGCTCAGGGATATTTTAAGGACTGCCACAACCTGGGTTTGCACAACTTCCGTGAGCTGCTGTATCATGCAAAGGGAAGGCACTGTGCTACGAGTTGGTGTCCATTAATAGTGTGCAGGTTGCTTTTTCTTTTGACACCCTAAGAAGCAATGACTCCTGAGATCTTGCCATTAACACTAATGCAGTTTGAATTAGTCTGTCACAGTGGGGGACCCCTGACACTCAGGATCAGAAACAAAACAAAGCCATCAGGTGCCCAGACCTGCCGTGCACAGCCTCAGTGACATAAACCACCCATCTAATGTGCTGCTTACCAAGGATGTCTGTGAATTAAACTCCTTGTTTAGGCAGGATCCCAAGAGACATTTGTGTACCAAACCCCTTTGCTCTGCCCTGCGTGCGCCGTGGGCTGTGCGGGTCGGTGTGCAGCAGTCATGGATACAATCACGGATACAATCACGGATACAGCTGTTCTTCCAGCAGCTCTCAATCCCCAGCATCACAAACTGACTCTGGTGCTTCATTTTGTTTCTGCAGAGCTCCCCCCTCCCTGCGGCGCGTTCTGTATGAGCGAGCGGACGTGGCTCCTGAAGGAAAAGTACAGACTGTGCTCTGCTCGTGCACTGACAAAAATTGATCTCTGCATTAATTAAAGCCTCTATTGTAAGTGACCTCGAGCTGCTAATGCATTTTAAAAATGAAGCTTCGCCAACAGCAAATTCATACACGTAGGGGTGACCAGGTGGAGAATCCTGCCACAGGCTGGTCTGCCTCCCTCCGTGTCAGTGATGTGTCCCAGGAGGTTGTCCGACTCCACAAGCACACCCCAGCCTGTGGCTCACCCTCAAATCCCTGTGTGTCCAGGCAGGACACAGAGCTGATGTCCTCAGCCACTTGGAGGGGAAGAACACCATCCTGACACCATCTCGTGCAATGGTCCCGTTGCCAATGGGTTGTCTCTTCTCCCTCAGCCTGTGGCCACGGGATGCTCTCGTCTTTCCCCTTCTGCACAGGTTGTGAGCATGCAGCCATCGAGACCCCTCCCAATCCTCACATCACAAAATTCACACTCACAATGAGCAAGGCCCAAAAACAGCCAGGGAGGGAAGAAATTCACTCTGAGGTGGGGACTCCCTGGGGGTTGCCCTTGGGCCCCTTGATGGGCTGCCTGGTGCAGTGGCCTCCAGCATGCAGCACTGCATTGGCCCCAGAAAGAAAATTCCTCTGTGCGTGTTTGTATTTGAAGGCTTGTGGGCTGGAGTCACCTGCAATGAACTGATGTGAAAGGGGAAAAGAAAACAAAAAGGCCCTCACAGGAGACAGGAGGGATGTAGCTGGTGGAGGATGTGGCTGCTCTCACAGGCACCATGGTAACACCACGGCTGCTGAGCTGCACCGAGCCCTGGCCGTGCTGGGCCCTGTGGGGTCAGCAGGAGGGTTTGGGCTGGGGATCCACCCTGGGCTCACACCACAGGAGTGACTGTGTGCTGTGAGGCGAGTTTTTGGGTACTGTCCCTGGGCCACGGCTCCCTGCAGTGATGAACTGGTTGTAGCACCATGGGATGGTGGGGATTGGGTATTCCCCATGTCAGCTGCTGCAGGCTGAAGGCTTCCTCTGCTTTTCAACCTGCCTGGTGACCATTTCACCCAGCAACAAGTGCCTGACAGATGCAGCAGAAACTCCTTCCGAAGCTGCTTTTCATCCCAGTACTGGTGGAGGAGCCCCCTCAGGAGAGGTGAAATCTTAAGGGGGTGTGTGCCCTGAGCACAGCTCTGCCCCACTTGCAAATTCACCGCAGCACCAGGAGCTCAGAGGCCTCGTTCCCTGCTTGCCCTGTGCTTTTGGCCTGCCTGTTTCCAGAGGGCAGGGCTGGTCCCAGCACCACATGCTGCCTGCTACCTTTCGTCAGGGCTCTGATGCACCTAATGATGAATTCCCAGCCCTTTGAGAAGGGATTATGTCTTCCAGAGACTAGAACAAAATATTATAAACTTAAAATAGCTGCTTCCTTATGGAATATGCCAACAAGCCCTACTGAATACTCAGTAGAGTGTAAATTTGCATCCATTTGCATACATATCCATAATTTCTGCCTCACCCATCAGCCCTGCTCCGTAAAGATGCACTGCCTGACATTGTGGGCAGATGATGGTGTTTGACACAGGCCAGCACTAACGAGGCCCCTCAGTGCCACTGCCCCAACCCTCATCAGAGACAGGGTGGTGTGACTGTCCCCAGCCCTGGCATCATTCCTTCCCCTTCTACCATGAGAAGACTTTCTCACCTCGAGGAATAACAGAATAAATTCCCAAAGGTCCAAGAGGGTTTCTTACCTATCAGTCCAGGCACAGAAGGAAGGAGCAAGCTCCAGAAGTTTCCCTCGGGATGGAATTGTTTAACCAGGACAGCACCTCACCAGCACCCAGTGGACAGGAGTGAGAGGAGGAATGGGGACCTGAGCAGAGATCCCCAGCACTGAGCACGCTGCTGGAAAGCAAAACAACCTTGCAGCTAATGGGTCCAGGCCCTGAAGGCTCTGGGTCATGTTCTAAAATGTGTTTGAGCACTGAATTTCTGTCATGCATCCAGGAAGGCTTCCTTCAACCTGCTGTGTGCCCTGGGGCAAATCCAGCACAGTGCTGGCTAAAGCATGGGGTGCTGAGCTAGATAGACCCCAACTTGTCTGGATACCATCTGAGACCCAAATCTCAGTGTTGAACTACCTAAAAAGAACTGACACCTGCAAAATACAGTTTAAAACCCAGAAGTAACACCAGGGAGGCCATGTCCATGTGACTGAGTCCCAGCAGTGAAGGTTTGCTATGGTTTCCTTCACTGCACAGACACTTTTATTCAGGTGGGATCTGCTTCTGGCTTGAATCCCACCAGGAGTGATGTGAGGGACTGTGAGGAGCTGTGAGGGTTGGAGAGGTGGTGATATCCCCAAGGGAGTGGTGTCTACCCACAGCATGAGTCCACAAAATCAGGTCTCTGTCTCACTGGCATTGTACAGAGGGTTGAGGTAGAAGACCTGGAGATCTTTGGGTGTCACTTCTCCAAGGTCAACATCTGGAGGCTCCTGCAACAGCAAGGGAGGAAAAACAAGCAATGGGGAAGAGAAGCAAAACGCTTGGGCAAAACCCACCCAGGGCTGAGTCCCTGCAGCAGCCGAGAGGCTGGTGAGGGAGAACAGGAATGTCCCACAAAGCCCTCCTGGCCTGGGGAAAGCAGGGCCCCTCTCAGGGTAACCCCAAGAGGCTTTTGAGAGTGTCACAGCCCCCAGCAGCTCCTGCCCATGCCCCGAGCACCCCGGTGTCCCTGGCAGTGGTGACTCACCACGCTGAACACGGGGTTGTCGAAGCCTTTGTCACTGGCTGGTGCAGGGGACGCCGGGTCCTCCATTCTCTCCCAGGGGTGGGTCTGGCGCAGGGCAGGAAACCTGGGAAGAGCTGGGCATCACCATCCACATCCCTCCCATCCCTGCATCTCCCCCAGCTGAAACACGGCGTCTTTAGGAGGTGGATGGGAAATTATACAGGGGGAAAATGTCAGGCTGTTATTGAAATGGGATATTTGTACCCCTTCCCAGGGAAAAGCAGCAATATCCAGCAGAAATCATTCAGCCTGGAGATCTGGGACCTGCATTCTGGAGGGAGGAGTTTGCAGAGGCAGACAACTCTAGCACAGGCTTCACTCTGGAGGAATCATTCCTTCCCTGTGGCCTAAATGAATTGCCACAGAGCTGACACCTGTTCCCAGTGTAATCTCAACAAGTATTAATTACTTTTATCATTACTTTTATCATTACTTTTATCACATTATAATTTTTTCATTTTAATCACCATCACTACTTGTATTATTTCCTTCATTACTTTTATCCTAAGGGTCCCAGTCACTGAGGACTCCCCTGCACTGGGCACCTGCTGCAGGCGGGCTCGGCAGCAGGTCCATGCACATCACCTCAGGAGCTCTGAGGGAAGCTCTGCCAGGCCCCTTTCAGTGGAAATAAGGGGGACCTGCAGCACAGGTGGGACAGGCCCTGGGCTCGTGTTCAGTTCTGTCTCCTGTAGCTACCGACTGCTAAATTCCCTCCTGCTGCTGACAGAGCTGGTTTCAAAGGCCTGTCCAGCATCCAAAGAAGCATCAGTGAAAAATAAATCATCAAGTAGCAATTATGGGTCTGGGAGTTTTATTTAGAAATTAAATGAAGGCATGGTTTACTGCTAGGAAATATCATGTCAGCACGTGTCAAGCAGCAGGGCAAATGCTCCTGGCCAGAGCCACTGCTGCATGGTGACAAAATCCCAGTGAAGGAGGCAAGAGGGAACAACCTGACTTGTGAGCCTGTGACACAGCAGCCCCAGCACCAGGGAGCTCAGCATCCCCTGGAAGACACAGGTGCACTTTGCACATGCAAATTTAAACAATTCCTGGCCCCTGGTTATCAAGTGTGTGAAGTCAACCCCACTTGCCCACAGCTGGGTACCCTGCAAAACCCTCCACAAGTGCATGTGGGAGCAGCAGAGGTGGGTGTCCCAAGCACCTGCCATGGGCACTGCTGGCATGCCCTAATCACTGCCAGGCCCCATATCCAAGCTGTGAGGGAAAATGGTGATGGAGAAGGGGTATTTCTGACTAATTCCCAGCAGTGGTGCAGTCAGGGGCACCCTCCAGCCCTCCCCTGGGACCTGCACTCTGTACTCCATGCTGTGTGAACAAGCAATGCACCAGAAGCTGCACTTGCTCTTGGATGCTGTATCCCTTTAACAGTTATGAAGCTGTGGGACAAGTATTTTGCATTATTTTGATGCATTTCTATTGAGCTGCTGGCAGGTTCAGTCCTCCCCTCCCTAGCAGGGCTTCAAACTAATGGTGCCAAGGAACAGGAGATGTCACCAGGCACCATGACTAGGCTGTGCAGAGCTCCAGCCAAGCTGCAGCAGCCCTACTCCCACCCAAGCACACTGCACCCTGCCAAGAGGCAGCTCCTCCTGGTCATGGAGGAGAATGAATCAACAGTCCAAGAGTACAGAAGTGCCTTTCAGCCACCTCACCTCCAGAAAACCATGAGGAGCAAGGACAAGTTTTCAACTGACACAGGTTTAGATTAGATATTGGGAACAAACTCTTTACTGTGAGGGCAGAGAGGCCCTGGTCTAGAGGAAGGTGTTGCTGGCTATGGCAGGGGGTTGGAACTGGATGATCTTTGATGTCCTTCCAACCCAACCCATGCTGTGGTTCTGTGAACAGTAATGTTGGGGGTAGCAGGGTGCCAGGGCATGCCCCTCTCCATGGGAGTTCTGGGCAGCACTGTGTGCCCCTCGTGTGCCAGGCTGGAAGGACAGCCTGGGCTGGCAGCTGCTCCCAAGCACAGGCAGCCTGAATATCTGCTGCTGGCAGAAGCCCCATCCCTACCTCAGCTTTCCCTTTCTGTAGAGAAAGAGGATCCCTCCAAGGAACAGGAGACTGAAGAGTAGCCCCATGACTGTCCCCGCTGTGATCCTGCTCACTGGGAGGCTCCCCACTTGCCCGCTGGCAGTGCTGCCAGTGGCCACTTCCACTTTGCCACTTGAAATGCCGAGAGCTTCACCTGGGAAGAAAAAGGGATGAGGATTGTACAGGACAACACATCCCCACACCCATGACAGAGGGAGGGTTCAGCTGGGTCTGGTCCTGCCTGCCTGGTTGATTGCCTTTCCCTGGGAACAGGGATGGGATTCACAGGTGGATGGACTCAATGGGGACAAGCCCCTGCAGGTCTGCCACCCACACAGTGACCACCAGGTCCCCTGGCTGTGACCTGTGTGCCCATCAGCATCTGCCATCTTCCATTGTCTGCCTCCACAAGCAGCATTCTGGCTGCAGAGCAGCTCTGCAGACAGGGACCTGGGGGCTCTGGCAGGCACCCAGCTGGTCATGGTCAGACATGGCATGGAAGCACACCAGTATACCAGGCTGCAGGAGGAGAATTGCCAGCAGGGCAAGGGAGGTGACCCTTCCACTCTGCTCTGCCCTGCCCTGGTGAGCCACAGCCGCAGCACTGAGCCAGGCTCCTCTCAGCAGCACCCAGTGACAGGGCAAGAGGCAATGGGCAGATACTGAATATAGTAAATTCCACTTAAATACCTGTATTTATCTAAGTATTTATATATAAAAAACTGGTTTACTGCTAAGACGGTCAGTTGTGCAGACAGGCTGTGGACAGATATTGGCCAGTCTCCATCCTTAGAGACATTCAAACCCCACTGGCCATGTGGGCTGCTGGCAGGGAATACAAAGCTCTGGCCAGCAGTGGGTCTGGGTGCCCCTGTAGGGCACCTGCTGAGGAGGACAGGGGTGTTACCGTGCTGTGCTATGTTCTGCATGATGTCTGCTGCCAGCTGCTCCGCAGCGGTGCCCGCCTGCACTCCCGCTCTGTCATCAATCAGCACGATCTGGATGAGAGGAGCAGCGCTTCGGGACACGATGCCCAGGAAGGTCTGTGCTCTGTGCACCTTGGATATGGCCATCTGCACGCCAGCGTATTTGGGCTTCCCAAAACACAAGGAGACACATAAATCCAGTGAGAGGGTAGGCACAAATTAGTCCCATCTCCAGACAGCCACGAGGGGTGCAGCTGCAAGGCCCACCTGAACCTTCATGTGAGCCCCAGCACAGAGCTGCCATCCCTGTCACGGCAGCGCCGCTGCATTTCCCAAAGGAGAGACTTGTGCATCCCCTCTCTCCCAAGCTGTGACCAGCACCCAGCATGCAAAGAGCCCCCATGGAGGACAGCATGCTGAGAAAGCAATGTCATGTATCACACCCATTAAAAGCTGTATTAAGACGTGTGGCTGTAAGGAGGGCAGGCAGACAGCTTTCAGCTCAGGATCAATAGAGCAATACCCTGGTATCGAACCTCCCAGTGCAATGCAGAGCACACCTCCTCCCCCGGCAGCCCCTGGCAAAGAGGAGGGATGTCATGCTGTAAGTGATGCTTTGTAGGGCATCTGAGAGCTGGCCAGTGCCAGTCACCCACCCAGTGCTTGCCTGCTAGGGAATAGAAAAGCAGCCCAGTGTTGGCCAGAGGTCAGGGAATGCCCTGCTGCAGGTTTGCACCATCCCAGCTGGGTGCACTGAGCTCCCCTGGGACCTAGACCTGCTCTCCTCTATTTTCTAGAGCAGCAAGCCCCCTGCATCCTTCCCCATTGCAAGCCAGCAGCTCTTCCTGCCCTGAGCTCAGCAGATGGTGGGGCTGTGGTGGGGAGCAAGGACCCAGCTTCCACAGCAAGCAGGCACATCCAAGAGGTCACATGGGAGCATGGGTCCTGCAGGGTGGTGGGGAGTGAGCTGCACCCCTGGCACTGCTGGGACTGCATGCCCCAGACAGTCCCACAGCCATCAATTCACCGGCAGATGTGGCCAGTGGCTTGTGGTTTCATCAGTCCTCCCAATCTGACAGGCTTAGTACCTGGCTCAGCAACTCTTGGACCAATTTGTCCTGGTACTTCTGCAGGTCAAAATCAGGAGTGAAATCCAGGTTAATGGTGGCCCCTGCAGCCAGAAAACAGACAGACATCAAATTCACCACGTGTGGGCAGAGAGCAGCCACAGCAGCACAGCTCTGACTGCCACGATAGGCACTGGGGACCCTCTGGTACCCTGTTCAACTGCTCTGGTTGGGCTCAGAGAGAAACCTCCCCTGATGGTCTTTTTGTCAGCTGGGTTTGATAAAAGGCTTTTGATTTTCCAACATATTCTGGAAAGTTTTCTCCCACTTATCCCTCTGGGAAGCTCTTCATGTCCCTGGTTTTGGGGCCATGAGGCTGTGGTGCAGCAGCACTACCCTGGCTTTTGGGGGGGAAGGCTGAGAGGAGGAAACACCTGTGCTTCCCCGCACCACTGCACTGCAGTCATGGAGACAAATATTTTCCTGGGAAAAAATACAATTAAGCATTTGCTGAAATTTTAAATTGTCCTAAAGACTGTAAGGGACTATGCTTTTAGGAGCATGTTGGAGAAACATATGCCACTTAATGAATTTGGTATGACATACCAAATATTAGATGCCAAGTATCCAGGTACAGTTGTGCATGAAAAATTGCCCCTAGCAACATTTCATGCAGATTAATGGAGGAGCATCCATTGTAGAGAGAACACTGTCAATCTGCATGCTTTCATTTTAAATGAAATTAAACAAGCTGGCTGTTGGGAAGCTGACATTACAGTGGAAAAGGTTGCATTTCCTCTGCGTGTTTTTGGCTGCATAAACTCAGCAGAGCCCTATTAGCTTGACGATCTGTGACATCCTGACAGGATAAACCAGAAGCAGGGACAAAGAGCTGAGACTCAGAACAGGCTCCCAAAAGCCAGAATTTCTTCAGAGAGACGCGCTGGGAAGGTGGCACAATGGGATCTGCACATGGGACTCACAGATGGGACCCTTGGCAGCAGTGATAAAGCAAAACTTCAGCTTACAACGAGCAGCAAGAACCCCCTGCTCCCAACTTCCCCCATGGAGCCGGGTAAGTAGGCTGGGGCAGCCGGCATGGCAGGGAGGAGGAATAGGACCATGTCCCCCACTCACCACAGACCCCACAGCAGTGGCCAAGGGGCTGCAAAGGGCTCTGGCACGCTGGCTCTGGGCACTGGCTCCCTGATGCCCTGAGCAGGGCTGCGCAGATGCGGGGGCCATCCTAAAGGAGAGCAGGGCAAAGTCAGTCCCACAAACTGCAAGGGACTGGAGCACTGCACTGGAGCCCCCAAAATGGGAAAGGGAAGACTCACCAGGGCGTTCCCGCAGGCACAGCCAGACTTATCAGGACAGCCAGTGCCTGTCACCTGGAGAGTGCCATTGCCATGAAACTGCAGCGGGGCAGAGGGGCCCCCCAGGTACGCAGCCCAGGATGATGGGGTGTTCAGCTCCTGTGCAGGGAAGAGCAGCAAAGCAGGTGAGTACCCCAGGACAGGTCCCAGTGCTGGCTCCAGGCACCCAGCCATGCTGCCGAGACACCTGGTGTCACATCTGATGGCCATCACTGGGAAGCCCCACTGCAGGCAGTGATGCAGCAGGAAAACCCTGCTAATGCACACATTCCATCTTTTCCCCTGGACCAACAGAAAAATTCTCTCAAACCAAAAATAATGACAATGACATGGCTGGGCCTTTTCTTCTTTTGCTTTCCACCTTTCTGCTGGCTCAGAGAATTCAAGTTACCAGCTTTTCCCTACTGGGAGGAAGGGTGCTGGGTCTGAGCTGTTTTCCTTCTATCTGGGAAGAATTTCTATGTGCTTGGCATTAGCAAAGGCTGAGCTGGACTGACCAGCCTCATCCTGCCAAGTCACCGGTGATTCCCTCACCCACTCTCTTCCACAGGAAGTGTCTCCATGCTCTGGCACGACAGGCAGATTTCTCAGGCCCTGGGATGAAAACATTCATCACAAAGCACAGAGTAGGCTGGCTACAAAGGGATAGAGAAGCTCGTATGGTCAGTTCATAAAAAGCACCTTCTCCTTCCATCTCATCGCTCAGCAGCAGCCCCTGCCCTGAGGGACAGCCAGTCCCTGGGTGGGATGATGTGCTGTGGGGTAGTCTGCAGCATCAGCAGGACCAGCATCACTCTGAGCATCCAAGAGCATCCACCTCTGCATCCCTGGAGCTGTGTGCGCTTGGGGTGAGTTCCACTGGGGTGCTGCCTTGTTCAGACTCGCCTGCACCCGCCTGGGCACCGACTGAGTCTATTACTCAAAAAGCAGCTACCTAATGCCTGGCCCTGAAATGGCAGATCCCAGCCAGCACAGCAGCAGAAATAATAAATAACTTATGAAACGCCTGCCGCATCTCCCACTCCTGGAAAGAGCCTGTGTTTACCGCTGCAGCGCCTGTGATCTTCTGCTCCTCCGACCAGGAGGGACAGGGCTCCTGGGGAGCCTGATTCCCGGGCTGAGGCACAGCAGGCTGCCAGCACTTCTATAATTATCCCTCCAATCAATTAAAGAGCGGTGCTGAAGCAAAGCTGGGAGATGATCACTGGGCCACAGGCCATGTTAAGGTTGGGGGCAGGAGGGAGGTGTTTCCAGAGGGTTCCTGAGCAGCACGGCTGCAGACACATGCCTGGGAAGGGAGCGACCCCTGGGAGCCAGAGAAGCTGCCATGTGCTGATGGTTTGACCCGTGTATATTGGCGCTTTTTTAAACATGCATAGTGAGACAGCCTGCACTCCCAAACTGCAGGGAGGGAGCAGATAACAAACTGGTTGATGCAAAAAGCCATCGAGGCCATTCAGAGCAGCAGCAGCAGCTCATGAAGCTGCAGCCCCGCGGGTGTGCCCCATCTCCCTGTGCAGCGCTGCTCCCCCACTCGGGGCTGCGCTGAGAAGGTGTCCAGCCAGCTCCTCTTCCTCCCCGCCTTACCTGGCCCATGACAGAGATGCTGCGGAGGTGAATCACGGGCTGCGATGAGTCGGTGTTTACCCGGAAGGAGGTTTCGGGCTGGAAGATAACATCATCGTAGCGGCACGGGACGCGCTCCTCGTGCACGGAGAAGATGGGCCCGCTGGGCCTGAGCTCCCCGCCGGGAAGGACATCCCGCCACAGCGTGGGGTCGAACCACGCGCGGTGCTCAGCGTCAGCGAACCTCGCTGTTCCACCTGCAAAAGGGACAGAAAAGGCTGAGCATGACCACGACTCAAAGCCAAAGCCCCAGCAGATGCATCTGGGTTGGTAAAACCAGGCACTGTCCGGCCTGAAGTGAAGGCTCTCACCCTGTGGGCAGGGAGCCGAGGGCTGGCCCTGGCATCCCCCTCATGGGCACCCACTGCAGGCATTTCCCAGAGCTTGGCAAAGCTTCCCAGAACTCAGGGCTGGGGTCTCAGCCCAAATCCCACATCTCCCTGCAGGCTTCCAAGCCCAGATCCCACAGGACATTTTTTCCCCCATTTTTTAAAGTTCATCCTTCTGGTTAAGGAGGAAAACATCTGCCTGAATGCTGAGTAACAGCTAAATCTGATAAAAATGGCTATGATAATTCATGTCCCAGTTTCCCAGCAGCCTGGCAGGTCTGCAGAAATGTGACCAGCCCTATTCCCTGCAGCAGGTAACCCCAAAGCCAGTGCTCAATTTAACTATCAATTATTTAACTATTAACTATTTCCCTGCTGGTTAGTCTTATCATGCAGTGCCCTGATTCCTTCTCTCCCTTCCCAGCAGCTGAACCTTTACCAATTCAGCCAGCATGCAGGTATTTAGTGACTGAATTACTTGCCTTCATTTTGAAATCATGCTTTAGAGAAGTCCATTTGTGAAAGCTGTCCCAGAAATGCCAGCTGATTTCAGGGGAGCAGTGCATGGTCAGCAGGAAAAGCCCAGTGCCAAGCACAGATGCTAGAGCATCCCTGCTGGGGGGCAAACAGCCCCAAAACAAAAAAAATATAGGGATGAAGGATTTCAGTCTTAAGATACAATCCTTCCCCTAGGGAGACTGATTTAGACTTTTTCTCTCTTTTTTCTTTTTTTTTTTTCATTCAGAGTGCAGGCACAGGTGCTCTGTTTGAATACTTCCTTCCCTGTAGGGGAACTAAAAAGTTACTTGCTTCTGAAAGCATGGGGTAGTTCTTAAGCACCCAAAATACACCTCCCTAGAAAACAGCTTTCAGATAAAAGCAGGCACCAATGACACAAAGCTGCTGTCTCAGCCATGGGCTGGGGGAGGGGAGGATGTGTGTGTGGGGCCGAAGGCCAGCTTGTTGTGATGGCCATGGTTTGGCTCACCAGTGTGTAACTCCTAACTCTTTCTTTAGAAACACCATGGCAGAGAAAATAAGGGCTTTGATGTGGCTACATGCTTAATAGACAGGGGAAAATACAAACAATATTTGCCTCTCTGCTACAACTTCAAAGGCTTCCCTACTATAATTACCTTTTAAGAAGACAGGTGATCTAGGAGGAAAAAAAGATCTCATGTGAGGGAGGTCATCAAAGGAAAGGCAAGTATTGAAGAGGAGTGATTCACTTTGCTCTGAGGTAGGACCTTTGTAGAGGCATTTGGGCTGAATTTACATGATTCATCACAGCCTGATGGGTGCCTGGTTTGGGCACTAAATACCTGAGTCACAGCCTGGATCCCAGCTGCCATCGAAAGCTGTGAAGGCTGCACCAGCTGCCAGCACGAATTCTCCGTTCAAGGGCAGGTACTAGATGAAGGATGCAGAGTGTTACTGTCCTGCTCTCAGCCACCCAGGCTCATTACCAAATAACACTGCTAATTGTTAGGCTGCCTATTACACTCACAGTCTCCGAGGCACTTTACAGTTATCAGGAGCTACCCTTACCATGCCCCATGTACATGGGAAAGCATCAGCTCCTGGTTTTATGGATGGGGATCCTGTAATGGGGAGAGGCAGTGTGATGTTATCCTCCAAAACACAGAAAAGCATCCAGAGGAGCAAGAATAGGAAAAAGCAAAATAAGCTCTTTGACAGTTTCTTCCTCCTCTAGTACACACTCGCAGCAGCTCAGGAATGGACTTATACATGGTTGGTACACCAAGAAAAGCCCAGTCTTACTCTGCAAGTGCCAGATGCTCCCTCACTTAATGGATTCCCACCTCCAGGGGCTGTGCTTGCCCCACAACATATAAATCAGGGGCTCAGGTTATGCTTGGTACAGTGTCATGAAGTGAATTTGCACTGAGCACAAGCTAAGGGAAACACACAGTGGCATTTGGAGCAGCTTGCCATAGCCAGACTCTCTTCTTGTTGGGTAGGACATCACCAGCTGGTAGTCAGGGTCACAGTACTGACCTGGCTTCAACCTGCAGGGCCCACCCACCGACAAACCTCAACAGGCACAGCTCTGCATGGGAACCTTTCCAGCAAGAAACTGTGGCCACCTGGGTCACCAGCCAGCACTGCTAACTCTGGGACAAGCCCTGACAAAAGATCAACTCAGGCAACTCATCCACAGCAAACAGGTTATTCAGCCCAGCCCATCTTATTTTACATTTAGAAATTGCAGAGGGAAAGTCATGGTTTCTTCCAATATTTTAGATGTGATGCTCAAGGCATCCTTCTCTAATTTGGTCCATCCAGTGTTTTAGCATCACTTCCAACAGCAGCTGAAAGCCCTCCAGGACTGAGTTATGCCAATGTACAGGGTCATGTGCTCAGGTAGAAAAAGTTAAATGGGATTTTAAGGTTCCTCTACTTAATTGGTCTTTAAATATGTATGTAGGCTAGAGAAAGCAAGACTTATGACTGACTGCTGCATGGTGGCCATGACAGCTCTCTGTCCCTGGCCAGTCTTGCCTCAGGATGCTCAGTCCCACTCAGAGGCCACCATGGGGAAGGGATGGGGAGGTGGACAAGACAAAAAGCTCATCACCCCCAAACTGTAGGTGGGCACCTGTTAAGAAGTTTAGTGCCCTGTTGGTGCAGTGCTTTGAAGGCCTAAGCCCTGGTGCCCCTCTCTTGGCTCAGGAACCATGAGAAGCCAGGATAGAGAGCAGAGGGTGGCTGTCACTAAGATGAGTCCCACAGTGCTCCTCTGCACCATCTGCTGTGGACCCAGCAATGCCATACATTGGGCTGGACAAGAGGGGATGACACTGGGAATAACTGAGGCTGGGGCAACGTGCCCCAAGGGTGTGGAATCTCCCCCCAGCCAGGAAGAAGCCTTTGTCCACGGACACTGCTCCATCAGACCACAGCCTGTGTCCTGCCATCAGGTTCTCTGAATTTCTATTACTTTTGAGTAGAGGAAATTTGTCCAATACCAAAGCATTGAAAAAGGCTGAAAGGTCTGCCAGGATACAAAAGGCATCATGTCCTTTAGCTGCAGATGAAAAAGCCATCAAAACATGTCTGTTTTGAAGCTCAGGACTTGGCCTGCATTCAGCTGGGTGAGGGCAATGCTACCAGCTTCAACCACAAAATGCTGTACTTCAGTTCAAGTGCCCTGGCTTGTTTTCCTGTGAGCTCAGGCAGGAGCAGGTGATGGGACATTTTGGAGCAGTCAGCTGCCACCCATGCTCAGGCCAGGGCCAGCAGCACTGCCAGCCCCGTCCCTTCTTCCAGACTGGCTGGGCCATTGCAGCCTGGAGCCCCTGGGCGCTGCCTCTTGCCTGGTTTGCAGGCTGGCCCCTGTGGTCGGCTGTGCACAGCAGGGCCAGGCAGGAAGGGTGGCCAGCTGGCTGCTGCGCCATCTGAGCTGCTCAGAGTGGGGCTTTGGATGGGATGCAGCAGATCCTTTCACTAGCACAGGGTACCAGCTCTTCACAGCAGTCAGCTCTGGGCATCCTGCACGTGCTGGGGAGGGCAAGCAGGTCTGGATGGGCCAGCAGGACACAGCACCAGTTCTACTCAAGAGGAGAGCTGGGAGAATTGTCTCATGCCAAATCTGCCTCATGCCAAATCTGCCCCATGCCTGCAGCACCTGTGCTCTGGAGACACTGGCCTCTGAGCTCTCTGGACAAGATGCAGCTTCTCCAGCCACCACAGGAGATCCCCCTCCACTACTGAGGCCAAAATCCCAGGCTGGCTGGCCTTCCAGAGGAAGCTGCTCATGTGTGTGTCAGTGTGGCAGGGAAATGAGAGTGAGCACACATCATGTCCCTTCACACCCTGGGATTACCCAAACACTGCAAGCACCAGCCCTGGAATTAAAATGCAACACAACACGATGTAAGACAGGGGACAGAGTCACCTCAGCTCCACAAACATTAAGTTCAGGAAGAGCTCTGTACTTCTGCTTCACCACAGGAATTTCTGGGGCTGGGCCCTGCAGCTTTGGCTCCCTGCCCACTGAGGCAGCCATGCTGCACATCCAGCACCAGCCCTGCCTGAGATTCTCACCACTGGGCAGCGTTTCAGGAGTGTCCCCATCATCCAGTGGATCTTTGTAAATAATCTGCCCTTTCTTTTTTCCTAACATAAGTTATGCATCTCAGCTCACTGCAGAGGACAAATAGACACTCTGGTTGGGCAGTGGTTTGCTACCTTTGGGAGTTTAGTATAGAAATGGCATACAGGTTGGGCCACTTTCCAAGTACATTTTGAACTGAGCAATGACAGGTACGAGTGGACCAAAGCCAAAAAGCTGGCAGTTTCATCTGCTTTCCCTTCCTCCTGCCAACCTGTACTCCAGGGCCATTAATACAGCAAGTGTTTAGAGTCCCATTAGTCATTTTCCATCCCTGATACAGGTAAATCACTTATCTCCTCAGTTATCATTATCAAGTGTAATGACAACCAAAGCACAGTCATCATTTTTCTTATCAAAGTCAGGGAAAATAAAAAATAAAAAAGAGGAAAGACCCCATGTGGCTCTTGGACCAGCCCCAGCATTGCTACACTAGAAGGAATCTGCTCCCCCAATGCATAAGTGAAAAAGAAACTAACCTCCAAAATGTGAAATAAAAAGCAGCAAAGTCCTGAGAGATGGCTTTCCAATCAGGTGGCCTCTGATTGGAACCAGCCTCTGGCACACCCTTGAGTCACAAGCATTGGGCTGGGATGACTGACAGGAGCACTGTGACTGGCATGTCACCATCATCAGACCTGGAAAAATGCAGCACTTGTGCTTTAACCTGGGTGAACAACACTTGTGACTGCAGCCAGGTCTTCCCCCAGCCTTGCTTTTATTTGCAGCATCAAAGCATTTGAATTCCTTGCTGGGACAAGATGGTGCCACCATCCCCATCACTCAACACTAAGACTGTCTGGGCTCACTGAGCTCCACAGTGCTGCCTGCACAGCTGCACCAGCAGGCAGGTCAGCAGCCATCAGCCCCTAGGTACATCCCCTTGCCTGGCACCCAGACCAGGAGCAGCTTTGGCCCTGGTGCTGCTGGCCCTCCACTGAAAAACATCACTGGGACAGGATGCAGGTGGGCTATGGCTCCAACACAGACTGTTATAACCCACCACAAGCAATAATGCACAAGGGAAATGATTTCCATTCCATCTTTCCCAGTGCAGCCCTGCTGGGGCAGTGGCAGCAGCAGGCAGCCAGGGCAGCAGCTGGGTGGGCCCTGCTCATTCTGCCCACAGGTGGGAAAAGCAGGGATTTTCCCAGTGTCTGCTGGGGCTGGGGGTCCCAGCACAGCTGGTGGTGATGCCTGGGTGATATCCAGCAGTTGGCTGACACCCCAGAAACAGACATCCCAGATGGCCAGGATCACCCACAGGTGAATCCCTCTGACAATTCTGGAGCATTGCCAGGGGCTCCCTTGCAGCCCAGCATTTCTTGGGTTCAGTACTGGGGCTTCAATTATTAACTTTCTGGTCCAGGTGAAGCTTTCACCTACAACCTCAGGACAGTGTCCTTCCCCTCAGTCACACATGCCACCCTATGTCCCCAGTTTGCTGCCAGAGCCAGCCTGTTCCTGCCACAGCCCTAGATCCCACAGCAGCTAGTCCAGGTCCCTGGCAAGGCAGGATGACCTCCTGCTTCCCCAAGACCTCTGTGTGAGGGTCACCTGCTGCTGGAGCAGCACCTTGCTGCCCAAAGACCTCCCTGCCCAGGCACATGGTCCCATGAGGAATAAGGCTTTAACTTCCCAAACAAACCAGGCCAGAACTGCAGCCTGTAACCCCAAGAAGCCCATGCTCGTGCAGGCTGGTGCAGCATGCCTGGGGCACAGAAGCTGGTGCTGCTGACCATGGGCCCCACCAGCGGTGGTGGGGGATGCCCACAGCCCTGCTCTGACCCCAGCAATAGCTCACCCCTCTGCTTCTGACCCAGAGCAGGCAGTAGCACAGGAGTGGCATGCCAGGGGATATCATCATTTCAGCATCATCCCCTGCAAGCTAACGAGGTGCTTGGTTGCTCTCCCTCCCCTCCTGCCCAGCAGCAGCAGCACAGCTGTGCTGTCATTAGTGCCAGAGCCAGCTCTCCTGCCAGGTCTGCTCATCACGTTTCAGGTTGTGTTTCAGCACACGGGCTCCCCACAGCACCTGGCCAGCCTGTCCTTGCCACCACATCCCCTGGCACAGGGGTGGCCTGACACATCAGGTTCCCAACACATCACAGTCCTGCCCATCCCTACAGAGAAGCTACAGCTCCTGGCCATGCCACACAGCTGCTGCCTGGTACAGCACCTGCCAAACCTCCGCACAGGGCCTAGTGAAAGCCATGGGAGGATAAAAAAACAAACAACAGATCCAAAAAGCCCATTAACTTAATTGCAGATGCCCAATACAGACTTCTAGCTGAACAGGTCCCAACAGTGTACAGAAATCAGTTGTCACAGGGACATGGGAAGCCCCTTGGGTAGCTGAAGACATTGAGCTCTGTATGCAGAAGACAGAGAGAGGCTTAAAGCCATTTGCCAAATCTATTTCAGATTAGTTAAGCTCCTTTTCCTGAACGTTCCTCTACAGACAAGGTCAGAGAAAGCAGGAAGAGGTTTGAGGTGTGTGCAGAGGGGCCATGCCCAGCAATCAAGGGATGGCAGACGGTCCATGGAGCAGCTTTCCCAGCCAGACAGGCTCCAGCATCCGCTGCAGCCCAGGATGCTGGCAAGCTGCTCTGCTCATCAGACTTTAGTAACTCCTCCTGCTGGACACCAGCCTGAAATGAGCAAATAGACTCAGGGAGATGAGTGTAAATGGCTGTTTTACCAAACTCCTTTCCTGCACACACCGCCATTGTAACCGCTGACACAGGAAAGACTGCAGGATTCCATCTTGGAATTATGTGCTGGCACACACACCCCTGAAATTTTTTATCTTCATCTTAGGGGAAGGAAAAATAATCCCTTTTCTGGTTATCTCATTACCCTGCTGTCTGGGAAGAGGTGGGGGAGGGAGCACCGGTGGCTGGGACTAGCGCGAACTGTGGCAATTCATTAGAGCCGGTGCCCCTGGAGAGCAATTGGCATTTCAAGATCAATCTCTGCCAGGAACCGAGCGGGAGCATCCTGCAGCAAAGCTGAGTACATTCTGCTCTCGCAATTAGGCAGCTAAAAATATAAGGCTGGGGGAGGTGTCCCTGGTCAGACCCCAGTGCCACTCCAAACCCTTGCCCAGCCTTGCAGCCCCTCGTGGGGCAGGCAGCGAGGGGGTAGGGACAGATGCCACCCCACAGCAGAGCTCGGGGATGGGGCAGAGCTAGAAATGTGATGTCAGGGCTGCTGAGTAACCCCAGCCAGTGTCCTGACCCTGGGGTCGAGCAAGGCTGCTCTGTCCATGTGAATAAACCCGACTCCTGCCACCCTGAAAATAGAAGCAGCAGCATCCATCCCTGGCCCACATGTCAGTGCTGGCCGGCACAGGGACAAACTGCACCAGGGCTGGTGTTACTGGGGCAAGCACCAGGCTCACTGCTGCAGCCTGGCCTGGCTCCCTTTGGAAGCACAGACATAGCCAGAGGGCCCACTCACTCTCAGGAGTCTTTCTCCTCCATCAGGAGACAAACAAATCCGAAGTCTGCCTTGCCCTGGAGCACCCATGCCAGGCATCATCAGCTCCATTTCCATCTTTTCTGCACATTTAGTCTCAGGCACCTCCAAAAGCTGGCTAAATACTGATCTGCATCTTTAGGCAGCTAAACACTGTAGAAAATCCAGCCTAATCACAACGGTTGTGCATCAAAGCCACTTATGCTTTAAGCTGGATTTGGATTTAATGTGTGACTGAATTAGGGATCCATTTGACACTTCAAATAACTGCTGAGCTGGGTGCTCAGTGGGTGAGCTCTGAGCAGGGAGGCAGGCTCTGTGCCCCAACAGCCCTCTCCCAAGAAAGCATCTCCCAGCACTTGGCTGGTGCACACATGGGATGGATGGGGAGGGGAGCTGGAGAGCTTACCATACAGAAGTGAGCTTTCACATAAATGTCTAGGACAGGAGCGATGGTGACACATGAGGACTGCCTGGCACTCCACTCAGCTGGGGAGTTGGGATGGGAGATCTCATGCTGTCCCTCCACCACCAGCACCAAGCATCCTCCCCTACACTTGCCACAGTGGGCACGTATCTTCATGAAAGTCACAGAGAGCCTAATCCCTCCTCAGCCATGAATTTCCTTCTATGGTACTACAGCAAACAACATTCTGCTTTTTTTTTTTTTTTTGGCCAAAGGCTGTATAGCATCTCCATGGTGACTCTAAAGCTTAATGTATTCTTGCTGATTTAAGTGATTAATGCTCCAGCGCGTGTGGCTGGCAGCCGAACAGGTGCAGCCCAGCCTCCCTGCAAAAATCCTCATGACCAATTCATTTTCTAACCAGCTGGTTGCTAAATTTCATGCCATTTGCATGAGTGGCAGCCTAGCTCAGGTGGTGCGTTTCATTCCTTTTTCATCCCTAACCTTGGCAGTCCCTGTATCACCTGGTGACAGCAAAGCATGGCAGTGAACAGGAGGGAAGTGCCTGAGTTGAAATTACAAAGAAATATTAACCACCTCACTAAGAGACATGCTGGGACAGTTCACAGGGAGTGGCTGGGGCAGTGATGCTCAGCAGGAAGCTGTGAGCTGCAGTACAGGTTATAGGCAGGGCTGGCTGCTCACGTGCAGTGCAATTCAGTGCAGGAGGGGAATGGTGCCCTCACAGCCCATGTGATGCTTCATTCCCTCACGGATCCCCCTAGTAGTCCTCCCCATCTGCACAGCACTGGATTCAAAATCCACTGTAACCCCTGGAGCCTGTGCAGCTGCCTGCCAGCAGAAACCCCAAGGCAGCAGAGGGTCCCCACTCTGGATCCTTTGACAGTGACGATCCAGGGCTCACTGGGGCATCCTGACCCATCCCTCAGTTGCAATAGGACCATCCACCCGAGCAGGGGGCAAGGCCATGGATGTTGGTTTGTGTTTGCAAAGGTTGTGTGGATCTCCCTCTCCCCAGGCTGCTCAGCTCTGCTCTCCAGCTTGGCTGCAGGAGGCTCAGCAGTAATGACTGACGCTGCTCTGCAATTATGCACTTTGCAGGAGTACTGATGAAAGTACTTTAGAAATATTATACATTCATCTGTAAGTAAAATAAAATCTACTGGAGTGGTATTTTGCTCTTCTCTTCTCTGGGTAAATTCCACATCATTTATTACATTATATTTGTACGTATTTCCCCAGTACATTCTTTCCTTCAAAAATTCATATTTAAAATGCCATATAAATAAAGTATCTTTTCCAAATATTTGTAGAGGGATTAAACGTGGCACATGGCGTTATTAAAGCATCAAAACTATTAGTGGCGTAGACAGCCTGAACAAATTACACCACATAAATTTCAAGGGCTTCTTCAAATTTAATGGCCAATAAAAGAGCAAAGCTGCCCTAAAACCAAGAGAGGAGCCTCATCCACAAGCTCATCAGGTCTAGAGGAGGAGGTTTTCCAAACAGGATCCAGCCTATCTCTTCCTGACCCAGCACTGAGAGAGGGATCACTGGTGACCCATCCCCCACTGGCAGGCTGGGGCAGCGGGTTTGCTCTTCCCTTTAATTCCTCCCTGTTAAATTTTACCCTCCAAACCACAGAGATTAAGAGCCCAGGTTTCCGTGGCTGCCTGTCAGCCTGCTCTGGGGCAGAGTTCCTCATGTGGGGCAGGTTGCTCAGAAACCCACTCTGAGTTGAGCCCACCCCCCCCAGTCTTATATCACTAACACACACATTTCAGCAAGGTGTAGTGCCCATCCTGACACAGCCAGACTGATAATACCACCAAAAAATATAAAACCCAATGGCACTTGAAAGAAAATTTCTCAAGCAACATTTTGGGATTTCCCAGAACAGTCTGTTTTCATTTCAAGATATTTTGATGTCAGCTTCACTTAGCTTCTGCCCAGGGCTAGTGCCTGCTCTGTCAGCAATTCTGTGGGTTGGTGCTCCTCAGCCAACTACTGCTAAGCTCTCCATCACATGGAGGGGGTTTTATCCCTCCTTTGAGGGGAAAAAAATCAATTTCTTTCAAATGAAATTGGATTTTGCTGTACTCTTTCTCATCTCCCCTAAATAAAAAACCAAACCAAACAAACAAAAAACATACAAATTAACAACAAAGCAAAACCAACCAACCAAAACAAGCAGAAATGGGCTTTTTGGTTCCATGGTACAGAGAAACCCAGGCTACTGTAGGACTCCTGTTCCTTTCCCCAGCAGAGGCATCCTTGGTCTGGCTGGACCACGGAGGAAAGCATCAAAATCCATGGAATGACTTTAAACTGACAGAGGACAGTAGGACATTAGATACTAGGAAGAAATTCTTTACTGTGAGGGTGATGAGACACTGGCACAGGCTGCCCAGAGAAGCTGTGGATGCCTCATCCCTGGCAGTGTTCAGGGCTGGGTAGGACAGGACTTTGAGCAACCTGGTCTGCTGGAAGGTGTCCCTGTCCATGGCAGGGGGTTGGGACTGATCACCTTTAAGGTCCCTTCCAAGCCAGACAATTTAATGATTCTGTGGAGAGGGGGACAGGGGAATGTGCCACCAGGCAGAGCTGCAGAGCTGGCCCTGCCCTCGCCCACCCTCGTGCACCTCTGCCCACCATGCCTTACCATGTCTGTCAGCGCGTGGGGAGACCTGACGAAGACCGAGACAACCTGTAAGAAAAGCAAGAAAAAAGTGTGCTTTGCCCTGTCAGGTAAAGGGACTTTTCCAATGCCTGATGGTGGTTTGTGGAAACAAAAATAAAATAAATTTAAATTGTCTATACCTTGTCCTTCTCAAAGTGAACCACATCCCTGGCACAGGGGACTCTGCCTTTATCCCAGTTGGAGGCGGTTTCGAAATTGGTGTTGGGAATCCACTGCTTGTACACAGCAGCAGTGGCACCTGGGAGGGAACAGAAAAACCAGTTTAACCCAGTCCATGAGAGGCACTGGGAGCCTGCTCTGGGATGTGCTTTAGGATGGCTTGGCATTTATAGGTCAGATTTGGGAATTTTCTATCTAAGAGCAGCTCCTGCATTGTCCCAGCTGAACAGTCACAGCCTTTATCTACATGGGGGATTGTTTTTTGGCTGGGTGATGGTTTTAGCCACCCAGACAGGAAGAGAAGCAAGGGACAAACACTCAGCAGGCAGACAGAAGGCAGGGGAGTGTCCTGCAGGCTAAAGGTATGAATAACATACGCCTGGTAGTTAAGCAATCCATGCAGGGGGTTTAGTTGTCACTCAGACTAATTAAACAAGTAAAGATTCCTCAGCCCTTGGTTTCCAGAAGGTACAGAGTGGGCATGCAAAGCTGTGATGCCACTAAGGGCAAAAGAAGAAAGGCCATTTGCTATGGGACATGTAGCACAAGTACAGGCTGGTTTCATGTGTTTGGAGCTGGAGATGGAGGATTCAATGGTGTACTTCAGCCTGAGGCACAAACATGTTGGGAAACAGGGTTCTTTCTCTTCGGGTTTCCTGGGACAGTGGCAGCCCTGCCCTCGGGGCCCCAGAGGGATGAGCCTGCTGGCCAGGGACAGGACATGGGAGGGGGTTTTCAGTCTGACCTCTCTGTTTGGACAAGCACAGCAGAGCAGCCTCCCAACCTGACATTGCCCAGGCACGGCTGGGGGATGCATGTTCAGCTGAAGATGAATGAATCTCCAGAAGCATGAATTAAATGGCTTCAGGCAAGTGATTATGAGACACAGAAGAGAAAACGGCAAAAGAAAAACCACCCCTACTTTTGTAATTTTAATGGATCATGTTTTCTGGAGGAGAAAGACCCACAAAATTAGAAAATATGTAGAAAGCCCGTGGTGGAAGAGCTGGGGCACTGGAGACGGAACGCCGGCCCAGTCCGGGGCGGGAGGGGGGTTCGGAATGACTCCAGCTGAGAGGAAGGTGCTGCACAAAGCCTGGCCCGGCTCCTCCGAACGATGGGGCTTGCAGAGGCTCTATCAGCACACAGGGATCACCGTGAGGTGCAATCTGCGCTGTTTTACTCTGCCATGGGCTCTGATGAGACCGCTGGCTGTAGTAGCCATCTCCAGATGAACAGGAAACGATGTATTTTTAACCAGAATGAAAGTCCTGGAGCCCAAGTGCAACGGCGGAGGGGCTCCCCTGCCTCACGCCGGGCTGCGGGTGCCTGAGGGAGCCCTCAGGCCGAGCGAACACACCCGTGCCGTGTCCTCTTTAAAACCCTCCGAGAGGGAAGAAAATATTACCGGTGCTAAGAACTGCAGCCAAGGAGCTGCTCGCAGTGTTGTGGGCATAAACACCGTCCTGGCTCAGAGCAGAAAAGAGCTTAAGAAAGAAAAAAAGCGCCCGGACAGCAATGGCAAGTTGTTCCGTCCTTGCTGCGGTTCCCTCGTGTCCCTGCGGCCCGGGAAGCCGGGGAATGGAGAGGTCGGAGCTGCAGCCGAAAGGCTCGGCCAGCCCCATCGCACAGAGCCTCACGGCCCGCAGGCCCAGCGAGCTCACAGCCGGGCCACGGCTCCTCCGGCCGGAGGTTAATCCCTTTGCCCCGTGCATTCCGGCACCTTCCCAGCCCTGGAAGTATCAGTGTGCTACTTAATCGGCCCTGTCTCCCGGGAAGCGCAGTCCTTGAACATCAAAGCTACATGCATATTCAACAGGGAGCGTGTCCTGCAGCGCAGCGCTGCTGACTTCAAATGAGAGGCTCAGCAGGCTCCGCACAGCTATCCCAGCCTCGGTCCCTGCCTGCCTTCCCCGTGTCCGGCTGGAAATGCCTTCTCCTGCTTGCCTGTCAGGCACGCTGGGAGTGACAGAGCCTGCAGCTCTGCTCCGAACCAGGGCTGCCCGGAGCACACGCGAACCGCGGAGGTCGCCCAGCGGTCACCCCTGCTCGCCACGGCGGCCGGGCCCTGGGCGTACTCACCCAGGAGCTGCAGGATGCCCAGGAGGGAGAGCAGGAGCTTCATTTCGCAGCCGGCTGCCATCCCTCGGCTCCGCGATCCCTGGCCGGCTGGACCTTGCACCTTCCCGGGCACGTGATGGGCCCAGCCCGGGGAGGCTGCAGGGAGCAGGGAATTCATCACAATGGGAGGCAGGCTTCCCCCAGCAGGAACCTCAGCCTTGCTCGGTCCCTTCGGTTCAGCTCCCTTCCCAGTCTCCCTGTTTGCTTGGAACCCGTTGGGAATCTAAGAGAGCCACCGAGGAAGCAGCTGGGGAGGCAAGAGTGCAGCTCGCCCCAGCTCGGCTCACCAGGCCTCGCCCCCACCCATCCAGGTCCAGCTGAGGGGTGTCGGGGTGAACACGCTGCGTGCACATCGCACGCCACTCTCCCCTGCTGAACAGCAGCTACCTCGTAATTACTAATAATGGCCTCCGTGTATTTTCAATTAGCTCACTTGGAAGTGAGCAGCTCCCAGCCACGACTCGTAATTGTACTTTGGCCACCAGCTGATTTGATCATTAGCCGGCAGCGCCAGCACAGCCTCACGCTGCTCCTGTGGCGGCTGCTGGCAGCGGCAGCGGAACATGGGGATGCGGCAGGAGGGGGGACTGCACCATCCCTGCCGTCTGCCACAGCATGGAGCAGTGCTGCATGCCGGTCCAGGCCCAGGTCTTTAGTAAGGGTGTGTTAGGAGAAGAAAAGGATGGGGGGAGAGCATGGATGGTGGCAGAGGCTGATGCCAAGAAGAGAGTTGTGGAGCTCAGCTGCCCTTCACCTGATACTGATACCAGCAGGGCAGGGGCATAAAATGGATGAATGCAGGGGTTTACTAGAGGCCAGAAGGAAACTGGTGAAGTTCTTGGAAGGGTCATCCAGTAGAAGGGACACAGACCACAAGAAGCTTTCACCTGACGTCAGCAAGGATTTAGGAGTGCAGGAGTAGGAAGCAAACCATCCCCATCCCACCATTCATACTCCCTCTGCTTCCTAGCTTCCAGCTTGCAGACAGACTGAGGTGCCAGGAGAGAAAGCTCCTCAGAGCTGCAGCTCTAAAGTTGGGCATCAGCCAAAACACAGTCAGCACTTTCTACCCAGGGAGCTCAATGCTGAGAGATGTCCTCGAGGTGAAAGGCTCCTGCACTCTAATTACCACTCACAAATCTCTCCTAGGGGACTCTTGGGGTGAATGCTGGCTGCAGTGAGATGTCCTGTATTTTAATAGAGGGAGGAAAAATTATAAATCATGGATACTTGGCAATAAGAACTTGGGGAAAGGACTGCAGTGAGCAGAGGGCAGGTGCATGCTTGTCTGTGGCCTCAGCATCCTGCAGCACAGCCAGGATGGGAGAAACTGCTCATGGGACCCTGTGCAGAGAGCAGTGCCACAGCCCCTGAAAACCAGCATGCTGGGATGTTCTCCACACCCTTAGTTTTACTTTCTGTACTCTGCAGCTGCTGCTTTTCAGTGCTGCTTGTGCCACTAAAGCTGGTACTTGATTTTAAATGAGCTGGAACTCATCTGGCAAGCAGGCAGAGGTCAAAAATCCCCACTCTGCCTGTGAAACCCTGCTCGAGGATGGACAGTCCCTGCTCCAGCACTAGGGTAGGACAGGGCAGGGTAGAGGAATGACAGAAATTCCAGCAAAACTCATTACTGGAGCCAGCTGCTCACTGCAGCATTGCTGAATAACCCAGTCAGAATAACCTGAACCTCACTGCAGGTCTCTCCCCACGGCTGGAGTACACTCCTCTCCATCCCAGCTTTTGTTGTTGCTACTGTCCCAAGATGCTGCTGAGCCTCAGGACCAGACAGGCACAATGGGAGGTTGCACAGGAGCAAGTTTTGGGTCGGGGGGTTACAGGGAGAGTGAAACAAAGTTGAAAGGAAGGAGAAATCAGTCCCCAGAAGTAAAAGCAGCTGCCCTAATGCAGAGATCAGCATATTTCACTCCTTGCTGCCTGCCCATCCTTCTGCTCCCCCGTGCTGGCTGCCCACAATGCCCCTGGGGGGGGCAAGAACATCACTGCCACAGAGGGGAAACAGCATTCAGTGCATGCTTGACCTTCCCAGCACTGAGTTATAAACAGGCATGAAAGCCAAAAATGCTGTTCTGCTTAGAGAGCCAGCAGAGCCACCTCCTAAAGCCCTTCAGGGACATCCAGCACCTCCCAGAATTTCCCTGTTGTACAACTGCATCTCTCCTCACTGCTTAAAAGTTGTGTCCTGCAACACAAGCGACTTTCCCCAGTATGAGCGCTCAGACCCAGCATGTTACATCTGGAAAGGGAGCTCAGTGCTGAGCACAAAGCAGTGATGCTGTGGGCACCAGGCCCCAAGGTGGATGACTGCCCCCACAAGCACACGCTTCCTGCAGCCCTCCAAGCAGCCAAGCAGCAATGGCACCGTCCCCAGAAAGTCATTAAGGGCATGGAAAAATTATTCTGTGGTAACTGTATTACATGCCATGGCCTCAAACAGAGAGAGGGGAGAAGGCAAAGGTGTGCCAAAAACTGGCTCCAAGCCCCCAGTGCTGAAGCCACCCCCTGGGGGAGCTGGGCTGTACCCAGGCACACAATGTTTGCCAGTCTCCTTGGCACAGTGCAGCATTGCTAAGGTTTGAATATGAAGCTAAGCTTAAATAAATGAGGAGAAATGGCCTGGCAGGTGTCAGCCCCTCTAGCTGTTTTATATCTCATGGCTTCCCTTAAAGCAGGCAGCCCCTAGCATCAACCAGAAAAAAATCCCCATGTGATATTTCCTTTAATTTAAGAAAAATATAGTCTTGGGTGCAACAGCACCATCTATACTGCCAGAACCAATCTCTGGTGGCAGAGGAGCTGGGTGTGCTGCTGGGAGAGGCATGGCCTCCTTTTCAGGGCTGGTCAGGAGCTGAAGCTGAATACACAGTCAGTCTGTGGAGTTAAATCCCTCTTTGGAGCTGCACACCAACTCAGCAAGAGGAACTCACCCAGCTTACAGGCCTCCAGCAGCCACACAGTCACCTTACCCTCAGGGCACCAAGGCAGGAGAAGTCACTGGACAGGATCACATTTGATCTCAGAAGACCTGGAAGCCACACCCCAGCTCACTTCTTATCTTGTAGTGTGAAGCAGGGGAACAAGAGCTTCCTGTTAGGGGTGTCCACAAGGAGCAGCTACGGAGTGAGATCTGTGCGGATGTAGGGGTGTGAGCAACCAGGTTTGCTTCTCAGCCCTGAGCCCAGGCCAAGCTGCACATGGAACCAGCCCACTCCATTGCTGGGATCTCTTTTTATCCTCAGAAAACTAAGCATCTTTCACCAGCCATCACTACCTACCCTAGGGACACCTGCTAAAGGGGCCACAGCTGGGGAAAATCCAAGTAATCTCTGCAAAGCTTCTGCACTGGCACAAAGCAGCCATCGAGTGTGCACAGCAGTGTCTGCAGACAGCTCCCACCTCCACTCACACAGCCACACTGCCAAAACACAGCTGCAACCAAACCAGCTGTGCCCAAACATTGCTTAACCCAAGGTGCAGCCTGCAGGGTGGAAGTCGGTTCCTGAGGTCTCTTCTGTGTTTGCCAGCTCAGCCAGTGGGAATTCCCTTCCCGGCTTGGGCCATTCCCCATTCTTCTGAGCATACAGAACACACCAGAGCATGTGCTGAGGTCCAGCGCTCACTGCCAAAAACCCTTGAAGGAACGAGAGACCTGAGTGGGCTCAGCTTCCCCAGGTGCCACGTTTATCAAGGGGGGTAGGGAAGATACTTGGGTTTTCACCTGTTTTGGCCAAACAAGCAACATTAATCGACAGGAACAGCCTCCAGGGCTCAATCCAGGCATGCAGGAAGGAACCACACAACTGACTCAGGGAATAACTGCCTTTGGGGAAGGTTGGGGGAAATCACCTATTTCACCACTTGTTTTGATCACTGAATATTTCCCCATTCTTTAGACAATTCCAGGACCTGGTCACATTGAAGCAAACAAGGAGCAGGATACATAGGACTGAACATTTTGAAAACCTCTGACTTCTTACCAGACAGCAAGCAAACCCAAGATTTGAAACTGGAAAACTTCCCAAAAACTTTTAAAAAAACCCCTGCAGTTCTTCCAAAAGATGGCCCTAGCAACAGGTCCAGGCTCTGGCAGTGTTCCTGTCAGCCAGCACCCTCTGTAGCCCAGGAGCTCCTCACCTTGCTCTTCCTGGCTGTTTGGAGTTCCCAGAGCTGGCACTCTGCTCCTGTCATCTTAAGTACCAGATGGTCCACTGGGAGAAAGCACCCCATAAAGCTGACAGTCACCTTCTGGGGCCTGGCATGAAAGAGAAGCTTTTTATAAAGCCTCACTGGAGCCAGGAAGGGCACCACGTGCCATTTCAGTTACGATTCTTTGGTGGGGGAGGAGGAGTAGGGAGGTGAGAATTAGTGTTTCCCTTCATATTTAAAGCAATTTGTTTCCTCTCTGTTCTCCTACTGCTCTGTAATGATGGAAGTGTCACATCTGAGCAGCAAGCTCCCCAAATTGGGAGGAGGAGACTCCTCTCCAGAGGACTCTGCTGGAAGGAAAACCCACTTCATTAAGGCGAGGAAGCTCACCACCCCTTCACGCTCCACAGCAGAGATATGAAGAGCTTCAGGCAGCGCAGCCTCAAGTGCCAGCGCCGGGAGTGCGAGTGGAAAGGCTGATGAGCAGGACAGCTGTCACACGGAGCATCCAGAGTGACACAGTGACTGCTCTCAGCAGCAAAGGGAACATCCCCCTCAGCACAACCTGCACGAGGTGAGGATGGCACTCCTTAGCCACCCTCCCCTTTCACCATGCCCACCTGCCTGCATTTGCCATTTCTCTGGCATCCCCACTTTATCAGAAGGCACTCGGCTGCCCAGCACTTTCAGAGAGCCTGTTCCAAACACCGGTGTGGGCTGGCCAGGTCGTTCTCACATTCCAGGCCAGCAATGCGGTGGGGCTTTTGCCAAGGCACTGCGGTCTTGTGTCTGAGCACAGGCAGGACATCCCTGCATTGCTAAACCCAGTACTGCCCCTGCAGCGATGGGAAGGAAGGGAACTGCAATTTCAGTAAGAGAGGGGTGGGAGGGACAATAGGGAAGAAACAACAGTGTGGTGCTCGGTAGAAGTTACATACTTCATACAAAACCCCAGGGGATCAGGGTTTTCATTCCTAGGCTGAACCTGAAACGTGGTGGAAATATTATTGCTCCACACATTCCAGAACTGTCTGGTGTTTTTACAGACTGCATCGCATTCTGTGACTTCGAGCACACACTTTGCATGTGGTTCTAAGCTGAGCAGAGTCACTAATGACACAAGAGAAGAAAAAATAAGAAATCTACATCTTTAGACATTTAAGCTATGCTTCAGCTATCCTTTCCCACACCTCTTTGGGAAAGCAGTGTACCGCAAATGCATAAAAAGCCATTCCTTTTATTTCTACTCTGTTTGCATAAGGGCTCTCAACTCTGATGTTAGGATGAACACCATCGCCTTGGTTTATTCCAGCAGAGTTAGCACATGGAAAACAGGACTCTGACAGAAGTTATGGGAAGCTACCTGTGCAGAGGATGAGAAATGCCACAGTAAGGCTCTGTTGGGTGTGTGAGCACAAAGCACAGAACAGCCGTGCACTGGGCTCATAGAGGAGCAAGGATGCACTCTGGCCATCTGTAAGTCAACAGCAGTCATTCAAATTCAACACACCAGGTTTTTTTTTTTTAAAAATATGATTTCCTACTTATTTATTTTTCCTTTAATAACACAGTTTAGCATTTCAGAGTTCAGCATTCTACACTCTTACACACTGTCCTTGTTTATTAGCATTTAAACACAAAAAGACATAGCAAGACCTCCAAACACAAATAAATACAAAAACACAATATACAGTAAACTGAAATACAACATATAATAATGCTATTGGGAAATTAAGACATGTTGCTAATTCCTTTTTTATTATTATTTTAACAACATGGTTATTGCTGAGCAATAAATTATACATTTTAAAATTGTTTTTCCCCCCCTAAAAGAAAAGGACGAGAACCACTGGTTACCAGATCACTTGCACTGTATCCTTACAGCTATTGATAATTAAGACAGGCAGAATATACACAATCAAATGAGGCTGGCCTTCTTTGGTCTTTGTTTTTGATCATAAAACTGAACACAAGTGTACCGTTCACTGAAGAGTATGAGATTAAAGAAATGGATACACAAGTTTCAAACACATTAATTTGTACATTATTCTCAATCACTGATGTCTTTTCCATAGATAGTTCTCACAGAATTTCTTGGAAACAAATGTCAGCTTTAGTTTTCCCAATTTTTATGTTGTTCCATGCATCTTAAAGGTTATCCTACTTGTCTAAGAGAAATGGACCTACATTTAGCCCATCATCTCCTAATGGGGTATTTTTCACAGCTCTCTAGTCACCACTAATTCATTGGAGTTTTACACCTTGTAGAAAAAATCCTGAACTTCCCCATTTTTTTTCTATAAAACTTAAAAAAAAAGAAAATTATTAACCAAACAACAGCGATAAGAAAAAAAAAATAGGTGGATTACACGATGCATCAGCAACGATGGAAGCTTGTACCTTCCCATTCCACAAGTACAGATTACACAACTCTCTGCCAGTGATGCAGGTCATAGTTGGAAGATGTGTCCTTTCAGGTGCGAGCTATATTCAAATACAAAGCTCAGAACACTACGCAAGAAAATGACCTTTACGAATGGTAATGCTGGTTTATCTCAGTAACCCTTAGACAGAGTCAAATTTTATCACTACGCATCGCACTGCCAGCAATGGAGCGTGTGAACACCGGCATTGCTAAGAAGTTAAAAAGTCCTTGCAGAACTGGCAACCAAATTAAAAGCTTAGTTCCAAAGGACCAAAAACACAAACACCACATAGAGACAACAAACCCTTCCCTGAATGGGTAGGTTAGTAAGCCACAGAGTCGGGATCCAGATTTGAATTCCACATCAAGTCTGGGATGTTTTAATCCAGGGTTTTGGTTCAGGTGCTTCTCTGTGAAATTCAGAACTTATTTGAACCCTAAGGAACTAATCCTAACTTGGAGGGGAAATAATGAAAAAACACAGCCTAGTATCTACACTGACATAATGAAATGGAAGACAGAAGCTGCAGTCTTGACCATGTATTAGAAGAGAAACAGGAATAGTCAGATCCCTTTTGTATTTTATAACTCTACTCTTCTAAATCTTAAGAGGATGTCCCTGAATCAGCACTCCAAAGTTTTCTACAACCTTCCTATCTGGTGCTTCTCTGCAAAGGCCCGGATTAAGAGGCAAGAAAGAACAATTAAGCCCTCCAGATTTTGGTTTACAGAAAAAGGGAGAAAGCCCCACAAGGAAGAAATGGTCAGTTACACTGACTGGTAGAACAAAGATGAATCCACTTCACTGTACAATGGTATTTGCCCTCCTTAGTTAAGAGGAGCATCAAACAAGACTGATTTTGTTGGACAATTCTGAACAGACAGAGCAGGACACAGGTTTGCTGCTGTTACTGACACTGACATGCTGTGCTGGCCTTCACTCTGCACATCTGGGCCACCACGCGTGTACAACCCCAAATCACGACAGCTTGTATGTTTAATTCTAGCCCTTACTGTCCTGATGTGGGTCTTCAGGGGATGTCAACTTATTTTCCAGTTCCTTCAAGGGACAAATGTATTAAAAGAGTAAAACCTCGTGATTCAGAGGTAACGCTAGGGAACTGGAACCTCTCATTCACTCCTGGCTCCAGGAGATTCCTTTTGTGACTCCGGGCAAATCACATCTCATCCTTGATTTCCTTGTTCCAAAAAAGAGAAATAGCACTTGCTATACACTGTACACAGTATTAAAAACTCAGATTAAACTGCCAAACCAATCATTTTTATTGCAGTAGCTTTGACTTCTAGGTCAACCAGAATATCAAGGTATTGACTGAACAGGACAGGAATTCCAGGGAAGAGGTCCAGATGCTTTTCATAATTCTTTTTTTCAAATTAGAGGAAATAATTTGCAATCAAAAAGTTGCCCATCGCTATAGTTGTTTAAAATACAGGAATCTCCAAATTATCAGAGCATGAGGAAGAACATGTGTCCTAAATTACAATTCAGTCTTCAGAAAAGCTAAACTAAGTGTTTGCTACATACAGGTCTTCAAACCTGAAAGACATGAATCAAAGTTTGCCCTTAGCCAAGATCCTCCTTTAGCAGCAACAAGTTACATTTGCACCAATTGATCAAGTATAACTTGGAGGAAAGGGTTTTGTTTCATCACTTCTACATAAAGAAAAGACTTTGCATATTTATGTGCATGCATGTCTGTGTGTATATGTATGTACCTACACACATACAAGTAATTTACAGAGCAAAATCTAAGAGATTAGGTATGCAACCCAAGAATTTCCCCCCTCACCCATCTGTATATTTGCATAGTTAAATCATATCAAAGGCATCAAAACTGCAGTCATGTTTTTCACTCTTCTGCAGTGCAGGCAACTTTCCTTGTCACTCCCTACACACTTCTCAGTCTTGGACCAAAGAGCACCAGTGTTTTAAAAACTGAACAAAACATCAACAGATACCCTGCACTGTTAGTGAAATGCCTATCCCAGGTGATGGAATACAAATACAAATAGGTGGTAGCTTTTAAACTGCAGCTCAGCAAGCCATAATTGTGGCAAGCTGAGGAAACAGAAGCAATACAACCACAGCCTAACATTCATGGGTTCAACACTTAAATCCCAGCTAACACAAATCTCTATTACCTTTGCATTTGAGAAATTCGCCAGGCACAGAAACAGGCACATATCTTCATCTTTCCTTTTCCAAGTAGAAAACACCACAAGAAAAGGAAATAAGCTGCATTTCATTTTTTTTTCATGTTTTTAAAAAACTAGCATGTTTTTTTTCCATCGAAAGTATGCCACCACCATTCCCTTTTCCTATTGCACATTCTCTTTGTGAAGAACATTTACAGTACAAGGCTGAAATCAACATTGCATATTGTAAGTCAGCAGTTGAAGGTGTACCGTGTAGACAGTAACTGAAACAAGACCCCAATTAATTAGCTCAGAGAAGCAATGCAGACATGGTCATGCATCATAATTGCAGGTTGGTCTTCAAACACCCAAATAGTTTCATCCTGCTTAGGATTCAAGACTTTCTAGGCAACAGGTGCACTCACTCTGTCCTGAAGAGTGTACACAAAGGGCAACATCCAGATTGTAACACACTGGAAACTCCCTAGAGGAAGCTGGAAACGGAAGAGGTTTGTACATAACTTGGAGCGTCACCGTGAAGAAAGAACACCAGCAAGAGACTTCAGCTGTGTGCTGCTAAGAATTACTACTAAGTAGAGGACAATGTGGTTCCACTGAACGAGCTCTGTTCAAAGTAATGCAAATACTCTGGGACCCCCTTGCAATAGTGGCAGCCCCAGGAGCTTGCCAGGATTCAAGAGTATACGTGGGGGCAGGGTGTTGTCCCACAAATCACTTTAAACAGACAGTCCCTAGAAAACTTCGGATATCTCAGTCAGGAACAAAGAGAAAAAGAATAAAGGGCATTTCAGCGATGAGAGAAACAGTTAAATAACTTAAAAAGTGTTGAGTAAAGCACCAGGTATCTTTTCCTTTCAACTCAGAGAATATACAGTGGCCTTGTTTTCACAAAATGCTACATACTCCTTGCTGGAAAGCAGAGGAAACCGATTTCTATGTACACAGTAAGAACTCTACAGAGATGGCCTGTGAGTTCTGCGGAGAAAGGGGTGTTACAGTCAAGGCTTCAGGTATTCCACAGCAGGCGGTGTCTACATTTGTGTAGCAAGATCCTGGATTTCACAGTACGCAGGGTTGGCAAACTGGAAATTCTCTGGCAGCTTCATGTAGTTTTAAAAAATAAGTGCAGTAGGCCTCCATTTTATTAACTGTGATAAAAAGCACATATGCAAAAATATTTTTATATCGATAGCACATTACTGCATTATAAAAGCTGCCCAAGTGAAGCTGAAGATTCTGGCAGCTGGTGCTTTTGGCACTTGGGAGATGTGGAAAGCAGCATAGAGATCTGTGAAATACAACAGTGACTGATGTTTCTGCTACAGTGATCGGCATTTAGATAGTTAGCAGTGTTCATATTTAAACTTCTCTGTGAAGTTTCTGAGTCAATATCCCACCAAGACGAGATATTCAGATCTCTTAAAGCTACTAGTTTAGGCTGTGTGCAGACTCAGGAAGACTTCCCTATTGGTTTTCACATTCACATGTTTCAAAGTCCTCAATCACCAAGGCTGGAAATGCTTTTTTTCCTCCTCTTTTAAAGAGCTTGGATTTAGAAGCGCAATTCTGTCACAGAAGTTGGAAACTGTAGTCACAAATCTGCAGAATATGCCGGGCCCTGCTTATACTCAAAATCTCCTCCAAGTCCCAGATTGAAACAGGATATAAACTGCTTTGAGATGGCCAAACGGTTTCATTTAATTTTACAAGACATGCATTAGCAATGGGAGGAGAGTCCTTTGGACATTTCCACTTGGGAATCCTGTTTTCAGTAAAATTCTGTGATGCACAAACACAAAAGCTCAGCTGCCTACATTCACAATTATTAAAATGACACAAGTTGAGCGAACCTTCGCCCTAAAGCGTAAGTGATGGGTTTACTTATGCAGCCTGCATAAAACTGCAAGTGCCATACAATTATATCTAGAGATATAGATGCAGGTATATCTATAGATATTTATGTCTTGTGCAGAACATCCTCCTTCTGTGCTAGAAATTAAATGCTAGCACGTGCCTCCATATTTGAGCTTGCACCTGTTGACAGCCACGTACCATAGAGGGAGTACAGTACCCGGACAATGGAAGGCAAGAAAAGGAAGACAAGTTGCTGCTGACAGTCAGGACAATCAGCAGCAGGCAGTATTCTAGCAGGTGCCTGGAAAACCCATGAAGACCACTTAGCATGCATTGTATATCCATAAATACTTCTTGCAGGCACTGTGTGTGAAGGCACAGCCAAAAAAGACAACGGCAAAGACAAGCTGAAATACAAAGGCATGAATTCAACTGCACCTTAGACAAAAATTGTGACTATGCCTCAAAAAAGCAGAAAACTGATACAGCCTGACACTAAAGGCTGAGATGCAATAGTTTTTTTCAAGCCCATGAAGGCTGAAAACACAGTGGTGCAAGCCTGCTCTGCTTAAGCAGGATTTTGAAGAGCACCACAGTCAGGCTGCGTCTCTGGGCTTGCTTGTCACAGGCTATTAAATAGAAGCAGATGAACACAGCAGGTTGCAATCAGCATGTTTCAGGGTTAGCAAATGCTTTTCACTACAGTTGAGGCCGTTACAAGAAAGAAGCCCATGCATTCCCCATTAGGATGCTTGTCTGCTATGAGAAGCTGCCACGAGCATCCATATTCACAGCCCCAGAGTTCTCAGATGGATTAGTTTCAAGTGATGCCACCTTACAGCCACAGGCATTAGAGGAAAAATGTTGCCTGCCTTCACAGTGGCCATGGAGACTGTCTAGTCCAAGCTCCATAGGAGCACTGAGCATAACGTTTTGGCACCTCAACAGGATGGATTCCACCATGGCCAAGTCATAAAAGCTGCAGAAGCCAAAGCAGTGGGCTTTGGCCTCTGTTTCATACGTTGCAAGGTACCTAAGGGCTCTGAAGACAAGGTTAAACATTATGCCTGAAGTCCAATTAAACTACCATTTCAGATATCAGAATTAATCTGAATAAAAAGCTATGGTTTATAAGCAGCACAGCACATCTAAGGCACATGTATGCATGCAAGCCACCATCACTGTATTAAGACATTGCTGGTTTGTCTTGAAGCAATGGCTGCTAGTACAGAACAAACATAGAGGCTTTTTTCAGCACTAATCCTCCTCCCCAATACTGAAAATACTATATACTGCTGACAGCATAATGTGCAACATATATAGCTTGATTGGAAAGCATGGGGCAGAACTTTAAAAAATGTACAGGATTCCGTTTAGAACTCCAAAGTTCAACAAATGCCCTATTTTAGGGTGAAAACAATTATAAATCTGATAATGATGCACAGCATCCATGAGTGATTTTTCCTTAATTTTGAAATAGTGTCATTAACTACGACATATATTGTAGGTTTACATTTCTAAAGAGAAATAACAGAATTGAATAGTTTTTTTTTCCTATCACAAGTGATAACCAGTGTTTGATATCTTCTATTTTTTCTTCCAAGAAATATCAGTCTATCAACAGTTTTAAAATAAAATGTTTTCTGTAACAATAGAACTTTAAATAAAAATATGATTTTGATTCAGATACTTTTGAGAAGACATGGATACTTTTCCAAGATCTTCTGACAAAGTAATTATTAAAACAGAGACCAGATGAGGCCTTAAAAAGACAATATACTATATTTCAGACAAGATTGCACCTCAGTTTTTCAAAGAATATCATAATTGCAACATTACTTCATCTTCTTTTAACATGCTGACAATTTCCAGCTAGCCCACATGTGAAGGGTTTTTCTTGTATTCTAGCTTAAAAGAAATAAAAGTCAGTAATTGATTCAGCACATACTGTATATGTCTTTTCACCTCCAATTGACTAGATCATTAATAAGTTAAAAAAAATCCTCTCTGACCATAATCACTATCCTGACAAGGGATAAGTGATTCGTCAGAGCTCAAGTGTTGCTAGTTCTATTAAAAAATATACCATGGTATGATTTCTTAATGTGTTGCTACTTTCGCAATTGGACCCTATGCAGTTATGCCTTCAAACTCTTCCATCTGTTCCACAAGGTGGTTCTGTGAGCTTTAGGACCTCTGATTGAAGACAAACTGATACAAAACCCCCAAACGGAGTTGCCTTCTGTTTAATCCGCCTCCCCCAGTGTATGTCAGGGGTCTGGTAGATCCGATGTATCCACTATGACTTTAATAAAAATAGTATCATCTTTAATATACGTTCCATTCTCTAGAACAGTTTGAGCCACAAAGACAGGGCAGCCAGATGCAATGTTCATTTCTCCAGTTGGCTTCTTGAAACTGCTGCTGTTCGGATCTGGCTTGAAAGCATCTCCCAAGTGGCGTCGAGACGGTCCCTGATCCATGAGCATGAGAGTCACTTTCTGTTTGAAGGGCCAAGGAAGCAAAGCATCGTATTCTCCACGCATGATGACAAAAAACAGAGACAAGTGCGTCCCCTTTCCCATGCCATCCCCGTTCAGGTAAACTCTGGCACACATCTTGTAGCCAAAGTATCCAGTATAAAAGGGTTGGCTGTACAGGGACAGAGTCTTCCCCATGACTGCTTCTTGCTTCCGACGTTTATAGTCTCGGATTTTCCAGATCAACACCCCGTTGTAACTCGCAGTTTCCAGGACCTGGAAGCGGAGGTCCATGTCAGCCAGCCGGATGTCGTGAACGCTCAGCATCTGGTCGTGCCTGCTCAGCTGGGTCTCCAGCAGGCCTGCCAGAAACAGAAAGGATGGGGGTGAGAAACCTGCTGCTTACTAAAGGCTGTAAAAACCCACCACTAGTGCTAGTACTGGGTATGAAAACACTTCACTCCCTTAGAGCCAAAGTGCATTTGGCCACTGATGAAGCAATTTCTACAGGCTCTAATTTGCTGGCCGGTATCTAGGTTAGCTGGGATTTTTATAAATGTGGGTGTTAATTGTACATGCAGTAAAAGTCAAATATTCAAATCATCTGACAGATTTTTTTCCTGGTCACTGAACAGTATAACTAGAGGCTTCCAGTTTTTGAAAGGAGACTTGGTAGCATTATCTGCAGATTGCTATTTAGCAGGTAAGACCTTAGAAGCAGTCACACATCCTATGTAATCCCTCTGAAATTCAGACGCATTCCTGATCACTCAAAACATTCTTTTTAGACACTATTTGTCTCAGAAGCACAGTGCTGTTACAATGTAAAGTTCTTCATTAAAAAACAAAAAATTCAAGCTTAGACCTGTATTATATGGGCATTTATTTAGTTTGGCGTGAGAGCTGTCTTCTGTGTCCCCTTTCCCTTTCATGTTACTCTTTTGTTTTGTTACTGGCAAAATTGGCCAACACACAATACTGAGAAGCAGATGAATTCATAAGGCAGGTTTATCGTACATAGATCTATTTAATTGTTCTTTGTCACAATCATTTAAATGCTTCCATGTGATCTACACTGTCCTGCTGAATTCCAGTCTTTATTCAGAAGCATAATAGCCTTATTCTTAAGCAGATCTCCATTTTCTTAGGATCAAATACACCTGTCTAATAGAATCAGGATGGGTGGTTTCAGGTGGATAACCATACTGATCCATTCACAGGGGAGAAGGGTAGTAAAAAATGTCAATATACCACGACTATATTTAAAGAAGCTGCTGAAAGCTATTAGCTATCAAAGATCAATTGAGAAACTGTTTATAATGAGCTAACAATGCAGTCAAGACAAGAGTCAATAAAACAAAAGAGAAGACAATAATCAGACCTAAGAAACAGCACGGAAGCAATGCCACACCATCAACACATGAAATACACTATCTCCTACTCAAAAATCAGAAGAATCAGCATTATTGATGTTTCCATACAGAAGTCACAATGGGAGTGCCACTCAAGGGACACCGTTTTCCTCTCAAGAGCACCTCAGCCCATTGTGCTCACACTCACTTGTATTCCGAGCTCCTTGCCCTGCAGTTTTATCAACACTTTCCAGCTCAGTCACTCTGTTCTGGAGGGATTCCACGCTGCTCTTCATGCTGTCAGCCTCCTCCCAGTTCTGTCGGAAGGGACGGATTTCTTTGTCCAGTTCTTTGAGTTTCTCTGCTTGACTGTCTATCACTCGCTTTATAAAATAATAGCACACGAGTTAAAATAACACAAGGACATTAATTTATGTAAATTAAGCAAAGATTATATGTTGGTAATAAGAATGAATTCCAATATAAACAATTTTTACTTTTGTCTACTATTTTAATAACACAAACATTGAAAATTTAAAGGAATGACACAAGTATTTATGAAACACTTAAAATATTTAGTGCTGCATAGGTAGAGCACTATCAGAATAGCAATAGCCTTGTTTTAAAAAAGGGACTTGTTAGTGTGTACCTCTTTTCTAAGGTGGTTTGATTTTTAAGGTTTTTTTAAACCTTCAATGTAAGAACAATTTTCTGAATGTCTCTGTATTGGTATTATGGGCACATGAAACCTGTTGGGTTTCATGTGACAGCACTTTAGCAACAAAATATGGGCACAGCTTCCCGTGCTGTGGATCAAATGGCTGCCCATGTGCACAGGTTTATATTGGTTTACAGCAAAATAACTTATGCCTCCAGGAAAACATCATTATTCTTGCACACATGGAATACGAGTACACACATGTGCAAGCTCCCAGCTCACACAAATCAGTCATCAAAGCCTAAGTTATTATGTGCCCACAACCATATCAGAAGCCCTCAAGAATGTAAATGACCACATCTGTCCCCTTAAGTACCTTTAAAATTCCCACTCTTACTTCCTAAACTGAAAAACCCATGCATTTTGAAGGTATTTTCTGTTGAGTCTTTTTAAGAAAACAAACAAAAAATAGCCCAGCTGGTTTTGGAAAGGCATGAAATATAACACTCAAGAAAGAAACAGACAAAAAGGCCAGTATTCTCTTAAAGAGGGACATTGCAAGCACCTTAGTATATTAAAATATAAAGAACATATTTCCCAGTCTACCTCAAATCCGATGCAAGAAATACACAGCACTTCACATTATCACAGCTAATTTGGACTAGCAGGAATTTTAGCCAGAACCCTATAATCAGTTGTGAAGTTCAAATGATAACAAAAATATCTGAGAGAAGAAACTACTTTTGCTACCACCTACAGTTAAATTCCAAAGCTAACTTTATAGCTTTATAGTTTATCATCATGTAGAGCCAACAAACGTAAAAATTATTTTTCATTTCTTCACAAAAATAAAGTGGCAGTTGAGTACTAAACAAGAAAATAAATTTCTTTTGCATTTGTCTTCTGGTTGGCCATGTGGGATTCAGTGTTCCCCACTGATGGGGAAAACCCTTCTGCCCTTTGAGCCATTTGCTTTTAATCATCTGGTTTCAGTTATACTGAAAGTCTGTAACCATTAATTGAAGGTTGTCAATTTGATGAGCCAGCTAGCAACACCAAGTTCTAGGAGTCTTATTTTTTGGCTCAAAACAACTGAGCAACCTAACATATTTCAGGATTAACTATTTATTTCTATGTTCATGTTTTAAGACAAGTTATGTAACTCTCACTTCCAGAATTAGGGCTTTGTGAAGGAAAGCTGTGCACTGAATCATAAATGCCAGGGGTATGGGCCCAGTAAATATATGAAGCAGCTTGCCTGGACTTACGAAACAACACCTACCAACACAGTCACACCCTCCCACCTGGGCTGATGGCAATCAGACAGTAGAGCAGGGAAGAGCTGTTAGCCCTATAAATAAGGAAACATACCACAGCATGGCCTGACTGCATTTTGGGAGAGCAGAACCAAAGGATTTGGCCACTAGTTCACAGTTAACATGCAAAAGTAACTCAAAATACGCCCAAGTCTGATATTTTTCCTTTACTCATACCACACGTGAACTTTCCGAGGCAAGAACAGTAACGTGGCTGGGGTTTGCACAGTGCTCACAGCATGCACCTCTTTGGACTAACACAGCATCAAACAAAATAAATGAGCACATTTTTATATGAAAGGGGAAGTGCTAAACATGCAGAACAATTGTAAGCTATTCTTCTTGGGAGAAGTTTACCCAAAGCTGTTACTAGGGACCCACTTCTCTCCATCAACCTGTGCAACATTCTACCTTTATACATGTATGACCAATTCTTGTTTAGCTGCTTCTGTTTCACACTGGCAAATGTGTAGCATTTTTATCTACTGTACCTTGATATGAGAATTCAAGAGATATAAAATAATCAGAAATAGGACTTCTATTTAATTTTTAAAAAGCAGTGGGATCTCTATCTTTTTACCCTACAGGGAGTCAACCTCCCTCCTGCTGGGAGGTACTGATGTACTAAATTTGAATTAAATGCAGCAGTGGAGATTTTCACTCTAATTATTCCATTAGAAAGCACACAGATGTCTCACACTGTACTCATAAATTTTCAAGTAGATATCAATTTTCTGCATGCACTTTTCATTCTAGCAACTGACCTCTCTGGATCATTAATTCTGAGTTATGTGCTTGGCAAACCATTGTGAGCTCCTTTTGATGTTGATTTTCATACAGGGTTTAGTATTTCTATCAAATTCCAGAATTTTAGCTATACTTACTAAAAAAATTTCAGAAAATGTCAGGAGGAACTGAAGAGCTGTAATGACCTTTCCACTGCAACTGATAGGGCGAAACTGAAAAGCTAAAGAACAGACTAGAAAAGGTACTGCTTGACTTGGAAAAGAAATCACGTGTCCTTCTCCTCTGAAGGAAGGTATTACTCATCAAATCATTTTATGTTCATGAGGCCACTGTTTCTTTTGTCCCTCAGTACCTCACGTCTCCACCCTGCTTACAATGGGCTTACTCACATGCTTCCATTTCCATATGAAAGACTGGACACTGCATGTGAAAGTTCCTCTCCATACGACAGCGGCCAAAAAAAGTATCACACACCCTTGGTAAAAACACTTTCCCTAGAGACCAATATATAGAAAACTCATCTGAAAACAAGACATCTCTAGGCTGAGGCTCCTGCCAGTGCCCAGACTCCCTTGATGCATTTACACTGATTGTGTCAGATGCCTCACAGTGCAGATGATGCTCAGTGATGCTGCTGCCATTCCCCAGCCAAAAAGGTCACCTGACAGCCAATACTGGAACTGTACTAGACATCAGGAGCATTGGTAAGTCTTGGGGGACTAAGCAAATACCCCTTGCTCAGACCTGAACTGGTTAGTGCAGTATCTGTGGCTCCCAGGTAACCACAGCTGCTTCACACAACCCAGGGAAAGAATGGCTCACAAAAGGTAACTAATTCCTTCCACTCCTCGTGGGCAACAGAAAGAGGCTGATCATGTTGTCCAGGAAAAAACAAATTGAGGCATGTTTCCAGGATACCCTTAACAATCAGACTGAACCAGGAAATTCTGCTAAGTGGAAGGAAACAGGTTGAAATAGCATTGAAATACAGTTTGGCTTAAAATAACTAAATTGAAATAACTGGCAAGAGGAAGTAAAGAGCAGAAGGGAAAAAAAAAAAAAGAAAAAAAAGAAAAAAGAGCAAAACATTTTCTCCAGTACTTATTACCACCACAAAGCCACTTGCTGGAATTTGCTGCTTTGTAGTGGTTTGGGGTTTTCTTTTTTCCTAAACCAATCACTCGAAAATTGATTTTGCTAACACTTACAGCTCGAGGAAAAAGATATTGCAATCTGTCATTTAAGACAATAATGAAAAACTCTGCTCTATGTTTTTTCCATTTCCACTCTCACTGCTGGCCATTGAGACAGCATGTGTAAGAACTCCAGGCTTACAAATTAACTTACCTCCTGGTAGATTCAATCAGCAATATCAGTACATACAAGGATTAGCTCCCCAGTGTCAGAATGCAATATTGCAGGCAGGCAGCCATATCCCAGACTATCATCAGACAAGTAACAGTGACTAAGAAAGGCTGAGCTGGTTACTAAGTGGGCAGGTCATGGAAAGAAATTACAGCTATAAGGAAAAATGTTGCAGTTGCCAAACTTGAAGGTTTCCTTATAAACCATCATCAAGGGTCTCCAGGCTCTGAGCCCCTGAATGTGCCACCCTTTGAATTTTAGCCACACACCAGTTTGGATACCTTTATCTTTCTTGAGTTATCAACATTTGCAGTTTTACAAGTGAAGTGAATAGTAAGTGAAAAAGATAATTTTATTTACATTCCTTTAAGGTGGATGCTACAACAAGTATCTGATATTCTAGCAGCAGTCATACTACATTAATGTGAACATGATACCCCCACAATTTCTCGCTAAATATCTCCTGAGGTTTCCTTTATTGTGGTTAGTGTCATGCAAGCTAATACAAATTCCCAGCACCCACATTCCAAGTCAGCTGTGAATACAGAGCAAGGGATTTCAGCTTGGGCTAACCACCATGCTAGGGCATCCTGAGGATTTCTAGTTTCATGCTTGCTTGTGGCACATTCAAAACACAGAACATGAAACTCAGACCTATCAGCAAAGGAATAACTAGATAAATTTTCCTCAGAAGAACGGAAATCTGGATTTTTAAAAAGTATTCAAATGCATTAAGCTATGTTTGAATTAAATCCACACCAGACTGATCTCACTCATGATTCGTATTTTTTTTTTTTTATAGCAGCAAATAGAAAAGGAAGCTATGTAATACTCAACAATTTTAAGGTGCTAATCTTGTCCTTCAGTGGGACTTCCTTCAGCAGTTTTTTTAAGCAAAAAAAGATTATTCTTCCTATAATATTGCTATTTTGTTTTCAGTCTTTTCCCTTTTTAAACTTTTTTTTGTTTGTTTTAACATAGGCTAGGCAGTTGCAGTGTTTTAGTGAAGTATCTCACCCCGTTAAACACAACAAACCACAAAAAAAATTATCAGAATGGCTCTCTAATAATGTAAAATTTCTCCCCCCCACCCCTTTTTAATTAGACTACCTCACTTCACAAGTGTAAAGGCACAGAACAGAGGCTACTACCATTTCTGCTTTAATGGGGAGAGTCCATATTTCTTACCTGTAAATGAAGTATTTTAGATTCATTATTCCGCAGCATTTCCTTCTGTCTTTCAATTTCTATTTCAAAGCTACAAATCTGATTATGTAAAGTTTGTATACTCTTGTTCTTTTCCAAACTTTCATTCTGGAGCAAGGCCACCTGGAAAAAATTCTACAATTACTCCTGCCAAAGTTTATTAAAATATCTATGTTAGTTTTAAACTATCTTAAACACACAAAAGGGATAAGATCCTAATAAAATCTCTCTCCATGTACTGCAAATAAATAAATAAAACCCAATCTTCTGATAGCTAATTTTGCACTTCCACTGTATTGGTACAACTTTGGCATAAGAAAGTGCAGCTGGGACACAAAACCAGCAAAGAATTTGTGTCTAAATGTAACATTTTCTTTATTCACTTGTTGTTTAATGGCTTGGTTTCCTGGTTTCCACCAACTGACTTGGGAGTTGCTTGGAGTTTGGAAGAAACAACCTAATTCACTCTGAATTGGTGTTAAGAACTTGAGCCCTGCTCAGAAGTGACACCAGAGACAAGCTAAGCTGGTTGGATCAGGGAACACTAATCTTCTTCACCTACTCCAATCTGTCCTGATCTATAGCAAATTTAAGGAAAAACATCTGCATGGGACTGACTTAAAAGAATGTGATGGCGATGAAAACTCTTGAAATGAATGAATATAGAAAGGATCCATGCATTTGAAGGACAATCCAATGGTGTCTGCTAGTAGAAAAGACCAAAGAACTACAGGCTGTGAATTACATTCTCTCTCTGTACTGACATTTTATGAATTTATTCATTAGTGACTCATTCTGTTTTTAAAACATGAGCTTTGTTAAAAGAATATCGTATTATAGATCTCCTTGGGGATGAAAGTAATACAGTAAATATTTTCTGTCACATTGCTTAGTGCTTCTTCATTAATGTGGTTTGGAGAAGGGGGCTGCTTGGTCGTGGTGCATTGCTTTTTTGAGAAATGTAGTTTTCCCCCAGGCAAGATCATTCAGCAGCAAAAATGTAGAAAACAAACACTTGGCACAAGATGATGTTTGGACATGCCCTAACTATTCCACAGATAGATCTTCAAACGGATATGACACAGCACCACTTCAGACCCAAAAAAATCTTGATAAATGTTTCACATCATGACCAATTACTCGGAAGTTTCATGTTCTCAAAAAACATCTACTCCTGGCCTCTATTACAGGTGCTAGTTTGAGGTTAAGCCATCTTCACCTCTGATGTGGGTGCCACTGCAGAATTCCATCCCCCTAACTGCCCTTAATCAGACACCAACACCAAATCCCTTATGTGTCACTGCATTCCTAGCAAAACCCAGCCTGTTTGAAAAGGTAATTCATCTCAAATCTCTAAACCAGCCTAAACCAGCCTAAACTAGACAAAGGACTGTCAAAGTCCACGGGCATTCAGCAAGTTCTTTAGATGGGGCCCAAAAATACAGAGATACCATAATATATATGTGGGTATCTACTTTTCAATATAGTACAGCACAGTGCGTGCATATACACACATTCTGCACTTTATACATGGAAAAACTGGGAAAAGAAACTCAACAGAAATGAGACAAAGCTCAGTTTGTCAGTGCAGAGAGAGAAGCAATACCGAGGCTGAAGGAATGCATGTCCAGGTACAAGAAAAAATTTTCAAGAACAACCTTAAATTTAAGCCAGTACCTCTGCCTTCCAGATATTTAAGATCTGCTGGGTGGACAGTTTTTTTGCATCCTTCATTTCCTTAGTGAATCAGAGTTCTTTAGTTAAGTGTGATCTTTACATTTCCCTTTTCTCACTGTTTCCTCCCCAGGCCTTCCAATCACAAGGTAGTTATGCTCTGGGTCACTAAGCATTGCATTTCCATTTTTGTACAAGTTATAAAACGTGGGCCTATCTGGTACTGAGATTTTCCACATAGCTTTACAGAATACAAGAAAAGTAGAATTATGTCCTGTGGTCCTTAATCATACAGAACTGTCTTTGCTAAGTCAGCAATTGTAGTATAGCTGCGATTTGTGAATAAAAAAAAAAAACCAAAAACGCTAAATAGTTTCCCAACTATCGTTTCAGCATAAGTCTTTGGAACTTCAGTTTAAAAAAGGGTTTAAAAGGGAAACACAGCATCTAATTAGAAACTGCATCCTTTACTTAGTTGGATATTTGAAATATTCCTAGGAAAAAGCATGCTCTTATTCAGCAATTTTGCAAATTAAGCTGTTGAGTATTGTTGTTTACTGAAGAAGAATGGAAAAAACCGTATGCCACAAGAAACTGTAGTCAAACAGGTTCCATATTTAAGTCTCATAGTAAAAAGGAAAAAACAGTTTATACCACTTTTCTGTAAGAATATAATGAAGCCACAAAATTACGTTCAACTGATTATTTCCAACATTAAAAAACTGTGGGAGTTCAGTCTGCAATTCTACACCATCACAGGGGAAAAAAGCAGTGAATTTTAATTCCCTCCACAAAGTTTTGATTCAAGATTTTACATCTGACCTTCTCTTACTATCTACCAGCAGCACCATTCAATACCAAACTCCTAACTTAGCACAGGCTTTGCAGCTCTGAAGACTTCCAGTCTGCCTACTCCACATGCACTGTTAAAGCGTGGTGAGTGAGAGAAGAGAACTTCTCCTTTCCCCTCCAGACGTACCACAGAGAGAACCCCAAATGAAATCTTGACCCTATACAAACTAAGAAGACTTCCACTGGCTTCAGCAGGGCTAAGATTTCTGAGATACCCATCAGCCAAGTTGACTTTCCACCGTTGTTCTTCAGTGCACTGATTAATTTTTTCCTCAAAGAAGAGCACAGCAGTGAAGTTACAAATCATTTTGTTACCCTTCCCTAGAATAAAGTCACTGACATATGACATGTGGTTAGCTATTCTGGTAACTTGGCACTGGCTTGGGATTTCCAGTGATTCAACTCTTTATTATGAATAGGAAGAAGTCTATAAAGCAGGAAGTAAAAAGAACAAAAATGGACATATGATGATAAGCAGTTATGTCCTAAATGAAAGTTGAAACAAAAGTCGAGCATAAAACAGTAGTGAAGTGTATAATCTCTAAGGTCTGTAAGAGACAAACATAGAACCATTGGGCATTTTTTAAATGACAAAGCACCTCTCAGGACACTGAGAAAAGGCAGAACATGATCTATTCTGCAAGTCACAGGGAACGTGGGTTTTTTCCTATGATGTGAAATAAATTGTGCAGTTTTCATCAGACTAATGAAAAACGAACTAAGGATATGAATCTGTATATCTCACAACTGAAAGATGTAAAGTTCCTACATTGACAAAGTTTCAGATGCAAAAGCAAATTTGAGTAATGTTATGGATCGTCAAACTAAGACCTACCTACACATGTAGAAAAATTCTATCTAAAAAAATCTGTATTAGAACTCTGCCAGGTTCAATGGCTTCCTTAACAGGCTTCAAGTTCAAAACCAAGCAGTTCAGGAACAACCACGCTGGGGGCAAAAAACATATTACACTGTTCCTGTTAATGTCTGCTTTAAAACTACAATTCCTGCAGCTGCATGACCTTGCTGGAGACCCAGGCAGAAGAGATCTCTGTAGGCCAAGAAGGGAATGTTCTTTCCAGACAGAGTTTGCTTGTGAACTGCTCTGAGATGACAGAAATCATATCCTAAGTGCCACTGAGCTTACACTGGAATTGCTACTTGTGAACTCATTTGAGAAAAGTCTGAAGGGGGCTTCTCACTCTTGTGCCTGCATTTGTAGAATACTTTGGTAATTTATAATGGTACTGGGATCTTCTTTCCCCTAAAAATACAGAAACATCGATTTGATGTCTATGTAAGACTTTTTCAAAAGTATTTAAGAAAACAGTAATCTGTTCTAAAGTTTTGCATTTTTTAAATCAAAGGCTTGAATTTTATTCACAGAACACGTGGTTAGGTCATTCGAGCTTATTAACAAGATCACAGCTGATACAACTCCCAGCATCTCCCAAATCCCGAACAATTTAAAACCTGGAGTCCCAAGGAAACACTGCAACGTGAACTTCATGCTGGTCTAGCACTAAAGCAGACATCATCATGCCCATGAGTTACAATATATTTAATTTAATTAATCTGTGCAGGTCTTTAAGTTTGGAGAGCAAGAACAAAAATAAATAATATAAATAACCAGTTTATTACACACTCCGGAAGTTATGTCAGGAAAAATTATGAGGTAGCAAAGATACAGCCCCTCGTGCTGTCATGGCTTTCTGAACTCTCTGTTCTGTAATAAGGCAGCTCAGAGAGGAAATATAATACTGGACTGTTTATTTATCTGAATAAAGTGTTTTAATGAAGGATATGTTTAATGTTATCAATGAGGAAAATTGTCCATGGAGTTGCGAAGCCAAGTTTCTCACAGCATTTTATTATATAACAAAGGTACAAAGGTATGCTGAACGGCTTGATAGCTTTTGAAGCCTATTAGTGCTTTAGCTGCAATGCTGAACAGCTGTAAAACAGGAAAAAAGCGCTTCTTCCAGTACTTTTGTATGATTTAAAGAAGTCAATGAAAATTAGAAGTGAGTAGAAGATATACCTTATTTTCTAGAGCATTGCTCCACTCTTTCAATAAGTTAACATGCTGCACTGCTGAGCTGGCTTCATGTGCTTTAATTTGTTGGTTTGTTCCCTGTGACAACAAAGAATTTATACATTTTAGCCAATTCCACTTCTTTTAAACCTACAAAGAAAGAGTATATAAAGACATCGAACCAACACTACATATTTTGGTTCACAGGTGCTTGTTGCAGAACTGTAGAGAGGAGGGAAATCTACTTGGGAATTTGCAAAAATCAGGAATACATTTAATATAGCAAGTGTTTTATACAACTGCTATGGATCTCCATCCAGTGAGCTTGATAACTCAGAAACAATAAAGATGAACAAGATTTACAAAATGAGTTGTATTTTAGAGTCTTTTGTGTAGCTTAGAACTAAACAAAGCACAATAAAATCCTTGAGTCATATAAAATCTGAAACTTCCAATTCCACTAACTGTAATTTAAAACTTCCGTTCTATTTCATTAACAGCTTCATAAGCATTACATTTTCCTTCAGCTGAATATTAAAGACAAATATTTAAGATAAATTTATAACTGGAAACTGCCAGCTTTACAAACTACACTGAGAATTATTACAATGCCTATTTTGTCACATTTAAGATATTACCATGATTGTTCCATGATATTCAGATATGCTGCCTCTGCACAACCTATAAGTGCTGTTACAAATAATCACTATATAGTTTACAGAACACACATAGATTATATACAGAGTACATAAGATGCAGACCACATTACTTACTTCATTTGTATTGTGTTGCTTACACCTACTTCAGTAAGTGCTTTGCAATGCAGAGAATATTAGCTTTGATGGTAGATAGTGCTGCAAAGCAACTGAAAGGGTTTCAATGATCCTCAAGGTATGTACTCTATATAAAGTACTAAAAATATATATGTGGATATATGTACATATATGCACACATATACATACATAAAATGAATGGCAATACGTACAACATAACAGTGGGCAGGGTTACAGCATTGATCAGTTCTACCACTAAGAGCATTACTGTTAACACTTAAAAAGATGAATGCTCATTATTTAACAGCCTGGAAATACCTGCAGGACATCATCTATAGAGACATGTTGCTCCTCAGTGAGTCCTTGTCTTTTTAAATAGCCATGGGCTAACAAATGAATCATTCTATCAGATAAATGTCATTTTTTCCTGTCAGCGGTTTCTGAAATGTCGTGACTAATATTTTCATTACATAAGCATCCAAATTCCCCAGGATTTATGGTAAGGGAAGCAGAATATTGGAAGAAACTGGAATGATACTACTGAAACTAAACTCTCAGGTTTGACTTTATTTTTTTTAATATTGCAGGGATTGCCAGTATTAAAACCTAAAACTTTTTTTAAAAAATAAATTTCATGCTTCAATTATACACCTGTGTGCACACAGACATATTAATGCACATAAAAATACATGTTTTAAGTGTGCTAACCTACACGTAGCCTCAATTAAAAATATTAAGACACACAAATGAGAGAAAATATAAACATACTTAGTTCAAGAAAATGCTTTCATAGAAACAACTGAAGTTACTAGTCTATTCTCTGAAGAACTAAAGAGTCTTTCCTCTTATCCTAAGTTAACAAGTTCTTCAAATGGTTCACATTCCTATTTCAACAAGAGACACCTAATACCTGAACTCACAAACCACTACAGGAATGTGTGGGCTTTTCATGTCGTTTATTTTTAAAATGCAAAATCAAACATCTCCTGTATAATCACTGGCGCAACTGGATGATTTTCTTAACGGAAACTAGAGAAGTCCAGAACTTTCATGTCAAAGAATTAAGTTCTATTTGCAGACTTTCATCAATTGGGAAGTATAATTGTTATATACTGACCTGAAAAGTGCAGCCATAACGCTTAAAACTACAGGTACTTGGGGCATTAATACATTCTGACAAATGTGCATTCAACTGCAATAGGAAAAAAATGTGAGTTTTGGCAAAAAGACTTTTGCATGATAACATAAAGGGCAGAGGTTATCAGGTTTGTATTGTGTGCCATTTGCAGAACATACAACACACATGTGTATATTTTCTCCAGTCTGATCTCAAGTGCTAATTCTGTATATACACATATGTAAACCACACACACATGCCAATACAGTATACAGTGTGATACATTTAATATACAGTGAAACTTCTACCAAAGACTATTTCAATGGGCAACCCAATTTAAAAAAACTCAAAACACACAGAAAGAACATACTCTATAATTATTTGATTTCATTTGACTTTCGTGAATGGCTAATCTTTTCTCAAAAAGTGATTTTTTTTTTTTTTAACTGGTGCTCTGAGCAAGTCTTAAGATCAGTTTCACTGTAGTAAAGTACATTTTTTTCTAATCCTAATTTCACAAGGAACCAACTTTTCAAAACATAACATGCAATTCTCCGTGCCTAAATTTAACAGTAAAATTACACAAAAAAGACTAAACAAGTACTGCATGAAACAGACAAAGAGTTTTAGAATATGTACAGTTAAGTAATTTTAAAAAAATGCAGTACATGGGATTAAAACTGATTAGTAAAATGCCTGCATTTTTCACAGATTGAGATTTAGTCCAATATCTTGGATTATTACGAGCACAGACCACTTTTCATTTAAAAGTCAACCAATTCACAGAAGCATATACATATATGGACAGCAGCAGCACAGATGGCAGCAGCTGGATGCAAACTGCCTAAAAGTTGGAGCAGAGAGACATTTTTGGAAAGGACAGCCTAACAAACACTCTCCTTTCAAAAACAGAGTGTGCAGTTTGTATTTCCCACAAAGCAGACAGGAGCCAGAGCCTGGCTCCTCAGCTGGCATCACTCTTTTGGGCTGCAGAATCTCATCTGAAATTCCCACACCTTAAGCCCCACATGACTCAGCTCATCCACCTCCCTGGAAAGAAGTGGTGAATCAACACTGCTCTCAATGTGCAGCTCTGGAACAAACAAGAGAGTCTTTAAAATCTCATACTGAGATGCCATCAGTCACTCATCTCTTATTCACAACTATTGTGTTCTAAACACTACCTGTAGAAATTCACAGTATCATTTCAAAAGACATGTAGTGGAGAAAAAAAAATGAAGTAAGAAAGGGACATGTGGTCTAACAGGTTTTACAAGAAGACCACATTTTTCAACTTCTGAAAAGCAGAAGTCTGCCAAAGAGTTATGAATTAAACATAAAAATTGCCTTTTATTCTACAGTAAGATATCCACTTGTACACTACAGAATTTTCTCAAACTGTTAGGCAGGCATTTTCCCATTTTCTCCATTAGACTTCTTGTCCCTAATCATGCAATCAAGAAATACATACATTTTCACAGTATTAGAAAAAAAATTAAGCAACATACAGCAACAGATGATGCAGGGCAAAGGGCTGTTTAAAGTTCTGTTCCTAACCATGGTTTCAAACCCCATTCAGACTCTGTGTGTAACAACCCAGCCTTTAATGGTGCAGCCCTTACAAGCACTCAGACACACCTCTTCTGAAAGTAACTGCTGAAGACAGGGCTTAAGAATAAGCCAAAGTGCTCCAGACCAGGATCTAATCTTGGCAGTAAGCACTGGTAGGGTTGGCCAGTATATGTATTTTCTCTTTTCTTAACAGCTCAATTTCTCTTAATAAATACAGTATCTATCATACATTTTGTATTTCATTATCTTGGAGGAAAAGACTCCATTAAACTTTGGCAGGATTCTTATGTGCCTTCTGCACTCTGCCACAATTAATAATTTACAAGAGCAACTGAAAATTTGTATGAATCCAGCTCAGGAAGTAAGTAGTAGAGGAAAGAAAAGCTCATCCTCAGATCAGAAACTTCACTTTCCTTAAAAGAGGCTTACTGAGTGATGAAGACTTCAGTAAGTTCTTCTCTATCTTTGGCAAGTAAGTTCTACTTTAAGGGATAAATTAAGTACCTCAATTTTGACAGATGCTACTTTTATCTTTTCATGTACAAGAACACGTATCTCTTCAAAGCCAGGCTTAAATTTTTTTCATCTATGTATTACTGGAAGCTTCTACACATCAGGAGAAACTTTTATGCATTGCTGCATCTGCTGTTAGTGTTGTACTCAACCTTAATCTTACACCACTTCTCTAAGTATCAGTTACTATTTTCCCCCCAAAGTTTAATAGATTTAATAGTAATTTAAGTATTTCCATGGAATTACACATCTGTATGATTTTTGTAGTCTTTACTAACTTTTTTCAACGTGGACTGAATTTTATTTGTGTATTTTTATTTTAATATAAGCTAACTACCCCAAGACACTGCTCTATGGTGCTGAAACAAGGGAAGGGCAGGGGGAGAGCTAGTAAAAACAAAAGCAAGAAGGACATGCGCTAATCTTGGACAAGCCAAGTGTAATAATGACTCAAAATTAAGAAATTGTTTATTTTTAAGTAGTTTTTCAATAAATCATTAAAAATATTTGAGTGTTATCACACTTAACTGTGTGGTAGAAAAAGCTTTTCCTTAGATCTCACATTTTAACAAGGAAATGGCTTCTGGCAAAATTCTTGCGAGATCTTACTAAAGACATTATTGAATTTTTCAGCACAACACTGGGCATGACTTCTTACCTCGCTCCTCATGAGTGTTTTAACACTACATTTATGAGGACATGAAACCATGACACATGGGCAGTCTGTATCTTCATGTTTCTACAGAGGAAAAAAGCAAACAAACCACAAATCAGATCTTACTCTTTAATTAAGAGAGGACTTACCTGCAAAGAAAAGCATCCTACAATAATTTAAAATCCCACAAGATTTTTTCAATGTTATTCCTAGTTGCACAGTTACAGAACTGCAATTGCTCAGACATAATTTTATACTTTTCATGGAGGTGTTGATATTCTGAAGCAAAACCAAGGGTTTCCTTGTGTTCTCCCATGCAAAGCAAATCTATTTGCTTACCATTTTATTGCTTTTACTTCATACAATGAACCAGTAGTCAAAGTCAAGCTTTAATCCTCAACAATAACTCACAAAATTGGACATCTAGATGTCCTTTCTAGTGAGGGTATATGCTGCACGGAAAAGTTCATCAGAAATATACACTGCCCACTTTGAGATTCTCTTTCCTATGTATGGATATTCCCTTCCAATTATTTTCTAATTTTGATTCCCAAACACCTGACATTAAGACTCACTGTTATACATCATGATGCAGGGCAGGGATTTTAACCTGAACCCAGATGACAGGTACCTCAGCACAGCTGTCAAACCCTACCACCCCAGTGAGGGAAGAAAGTCAGGCCCAAGATAACTGAATTTACATTTCCTCTCCGTCTTCTCAACAAAATGAAAAATCCACTTCTCGTCAAGTGACATGTCCCATTCAACTTGAAACACCCTGCTTCATTTCTGGTACTTAAGAAAAGCAAAGGAAACAAAGCTCTAGATTTATAAGCCTGTTAGAAAGGGAAGAACAAATAGCATGCCCTTTTTGCCCAGTGACCAGGTCTATTTTTTGAAACAAAACCAAGAGGTAAAGGAGATCTGATCTCCAAGACGTGAAAGGTCTTGGTCAGAATTCTGGCATAAATCTGCCACTATCTGAAGCTGTGTATCTCCTCCTTTTAAAGCAGGCCATCAGATGCTGTCCTGAGCCATTTACCCTGCTATGCTCCCCATTCATACTCGCTCACTTGGGCTGTGGCACAGTCCCAGTGGCAGGAACCAGGGAACCAGTCCCAGTGGCAGGAACCAGGGAACCCTCAGCTGCTGCTCAGCCAGAGAGCTGGGACAGCTCCTGAGCCATCTTCAGTCCGTCCCCACCAGGATACCCAGCCAGGAGCAATGCCAAGCCCTCTCCTCAGATCAGCCTGTCAGGGTGACAGTGATGTTTTTCTGACAAGAGGAGCCCCAAAGCACCACTCCTGCTCAGAGTCAAGAGCTGGACCTGGGCTTCTCATTCTGAACATACCTGGAATTGCGCTGAAGTGAGACATTTCACACAACCATGTGGCTTTACGAGCCTAATGCCCTACACATGTCCTTATTTATTTATCAACTACAAACCCAGAAAAGTAATACTCCCTTCTAATGTTCATTCCCTAATTTTAACTCCCTAAACCTGTTCCCTAACCTACCCAAACCATCTGACAAAGGCTGTGACACTGAGTCTTGGTTCATGGCAAGGAGGCAACATGCAACTTCCCAGCATTCTCTCCTGGTTTCCTCCTTGCTCCACATCCCAGTGTCCACCCACTGAGGCCATGGCAAGCCTTTCCAGAGACTTCAGGATATACCAGAGTAACCCCAGTCCAGTGGTAGAACTCTCTCCCTCCTGGTCTCAATTCACCCAGTTGAGTACATGAAGCCAAATGCAGCACAAACCACATGTGATGGCACATGCAGGGCTCCCAGCACAGGTGAGGGCAGGGGAGGCTATCAACACAGCTCCCAGAATTAGGAACACATCTGGCTCCAGAGCAGTGACAGGGAGCAAGGGACAATGTCTGGAGTCATCCCTGATGCTGTCCCAGTCAGCTCAGCTGTACTTCAGAGCACTGGGGAGAGCCCACATTGTCCTGGCAGGGTCTGGTTTATGGCCAGGGTTTCAGGGAGGAACCCAGGCATGAAAAAGTGATGTCCTTCCAGATCCCTGTCACACTTCTGCTGTCTGAGTATCAATGTTACAGGACAAGCGCTTCCAAGTAGCTTTGTGGATTATACACAGAAAAATACAGTGATCCAGAAGCATTTCATACTACTGATTTCAATTTTAACAATACACCATCTTTATCTGTCAGGAGGTAGAAGATGGAAAAGGTAGGTTTGTGTCAAAAAGAAACCCTGAATTTTTAGATGGTTTGAACAAAGGATATTAAGAGGCGAATTCACTGAGTGAGCATGCAGCAAGACAAATGCAATCTAAAAAAGCATTCTACTAACATTGCTAACTTGTTGGAGTCTGCCTCCAACAACGGGGATTTCCTACCCCACCGGTCACGGGATTCTATGAAGACATGAACCACATGTTCTCCAGTAAAATTTTTTGTTTCCATTTGCATACCTTTTTTCTCAGTCTGCTCCCCCTACCTCCGTTTTCAGTTCAAGTCACTGAGGCCAGCTTCAGTCATTACTACTACATTAGAGAAAATTCTAGGCTACAGAACCCAGAGATGAACTCAAGTTCATCTCTAAAAATCCAGTTTTGTCAACAGGGTGACAAAACTCAAATGAGAAGTCAAAAGAAACCTTACAGTACCTGAAGGGGTCTACAGAAAGCCAGAGAGGGACTTTTTTTTACAGAAGCATGTAGAGATAGGACAAGGGAGAAAGGCTTTAAGCTGATAGAGGGCAGATTTAAATTAGATATTAGGAAGTTCTAAACTGTGAGGGTGGTGAGGCACTGGAACAGATTTTCCAGAGAAATAGTGAATGCTTAATCCCTGGAAGCATTCAAGGCCATGCTGGTTTTGAGCAACCTGGTTGAGTGGAAGCTCTCCCTGCCCACAGCAGAAGGATTGGAACAAGAATGATCTTTAAGGTCCCTTCCAAGTCAAACCATTCTGTGATTCTAAGATTCAAACATACAGTGTCATTAAGCTTCTGATTCTTATTACTAAAGTAGAGTGAGATAACATTTTATCAGGCCACAACAAAGAAGCTCATCTGCTTTTCTATAACTACTGAACTTTTAAAAATCTAGGAAAAAGCCCCAAAAATATCTGCCAACCCAGTTTGCAGAACATAGTCAAAACTCACTGATTCTGTCTGTTAAGACACCATACATTTTTTAATGTCACTTTTTGCCTCATGCCAATCCCCAGCCTAATCATAATTCTGGTAGAACAGCATGCATAATCCACCTAAATACACTTCACCTCTGTATCAGAATGTACAAGAATAAATACAGGGCAGACTTAAATTTTTCTGTGTATTTTCATGTCTCAACCACCTTATTCTAGGTAAGGCACAGTTATTGAACTACCAGCCCCTGCAAATGTGCACTCAAATAACAGAGCCAAATCTCAACCAGAACTTGGCAAGTTTCTACCTATGCCTTTTTGTAACAACATCTCCAAGCAAAGAACACGTCTCATCATTGTCAGACTTTCCCTAACCAACACAAAAGAGCACAAATGAGAATAAAATTTCATCACTCTTAATGTAGTAAGAAGGTGTGAGATCCAAGACCATCAAACTACAGAAACTATGTAGACAGAGTTTTAAAAAAAATGTTAAAATCATACCAAGGTAGATTCAGCATAATATCTTTCCATGTGAAATAACATAAACACAGTCAAGCTAAAATTCTATGTGTAATGTAAGCATGACTTTCTCAACCTCTGCTCTGTAATTCTAACCCTCAATATGCAGCCTATCAGACAAGCCACTCTGATGCCAGGAACAGCAGTAACTCATCTAAGGCCTGTCATGTACCACTGCTGGTTATGCCAAGGTACAATTTGCTTTTACATTCTTCCTTTCCTCTCGTAAGACAGAATTGGTTTTACACTCTTCCCTTCCTCCCAGAACAGACCACACAGTACCCAAGAAGGATTACACAGAAGATGCTATTTTTCCAGTCAATTGCAATGCTTATGCTTTTCTTGCACAATATTTGATTGTTATTGTAGTAGTTGCATTTATTATCTAAATTGTAAAAAAAAAAAAAAAAAGTCTAAAAAGCATAGCAAAATTAACTTCAGAATCAATACCACATAATGGATCTGAACTTTTTAAAATGCAGTATGTGAACATCAGAATAAAGAAAATATTTCCTATTCAATGCACTTTTTTTTTTTCAGGAAAAAGACACGTTTTGAAAGTCAGCCTATTTTCTTTTCTGAATTATTAATTCTGGCTGAGGGGCCAAAGCTCTTTTGCCAGCTACAGAGAAGGACAAGAAGGGTTGTTATTATTCTACATTAACATAGGGAATCTTAAGGTATATGCATAAGAAAATACTGCACCTGCAACATAATCATTGGGACTTGGCTTTTACAGTATTTACAGGTTGTCTCCCGGTATTTACAGGTCTTCTCTACATGGTCTGGCAAATCTTTTCTCAGTATTTTTTCTTTGCAATCAGCACGAGGACATGGGAGTTCTTCAAACTGACAATCAGTCCTCAAATGCATCTGAAAGATTTAAAAAAAAAAAGTCAATCCAATTAAGTTTTGTGCATGTCTTCATCCTTTGAAGACATTCAACATTAAATAACTTCAGAACCAAAGTAAGGAGAGTTATTTTGTGAACTGCATCACACAAGAGCAAACACTGACAAAACTACTCAGGAATACATTTCTGACTGTACAGTCCCTTTACCTGGACAGCTGATTTCACTGCCTTACAGATGTACATGAGCTACTCCTACACTAATAAAAGCATTCTAACATGGAACAAAATTCTACACAGGTTATTTAAAGAAAAAGTAAGCACTCTTTTTAAAAGTACATTATTCCACATAAACACAGATGCTGCTTTAAGTTGTTTAGGTACCTGAGCTTCCTCACTCAAAGCATGAATCTACACATCTCACTGCAAACTGCTGTGCAGCCATACCATACTACTGTTGAATTACTGAATTACTGCTATCTCATGCCTTCACCAAAACAGCTACAGCTTATTTTACACAACTCTGAAGAAGCCAAGTTTAATTTCATGCATAAACACCACATCACAGGATTAAGATAAATAAAAACACATCAAAATAGAAAACAAATTTCTCACATTTGTCAAGTACACATTAAGATTCTTCACTATTCTGTTTCTCCTTCCAGCTCTCATTTGGTTCATACATTTGTATTTCCAAGCTTTAGTGCCAGATAATCACATGATTTTTTATAATTCCTTACAGTTCATAAAAAAGCTGAGTTTTAAAACAGTTTAAATCTATCGTAACATTCCTAAATCACATTAGCCACCAGTGAGAGTAAGTTAAGAAATTGACTGCAATTTTAATTTGCAAGAATTTTTTCATCATTCTTTAATTCAAAAGAAAGCTTATGACTGATAGATTAACTTACCAGTAATTGACCCAAAGATAGCTGTTCCTTACAGCCCTTGTTTTCATTTCTGCAGTATATTTGAAGGGCAAGTAGTTCTCTCCTGCAACAATTATCTTTAAATACCTGAAAAATCAAAAATCACTTTATTTTAGAAACTGAAAACCACTCAAGGATATGCAAGTTCAAATAAAGTAGAAGCCATGCAATTCAGCTACAGCAGTGTCATTCAATTCTAGCTTTATGTGCCAAAAATAAAATCCTGCAATTCTATTTTTCTAGAATGTGCACAATACTGAGGTGCCTCCACTGTGAAGTAGCTCAATGAAAGAGTATTTGGAAAGATACTCTACTACTGTTTCAGCTGTACTGTAAATACAATAAAGGGAAAGGTACAAGAAAGGATCAAATTTGCTTTTTAGCTTGCCAATATTAGGTCTGCACAAGCTAGAATTCTCTCCATTGTTTGGGGAGCTGCTGTATTAGGCATAACACCATAGGACAAAACAGACTCAAAGCACGATAGTTGGGAGGGGAAGCATTTCATGGATGGTGGTCCCAGAATTACTAGATTGGATGGCTGGAATACCTACCTGCACTTCAGTGGTAACACATAATTACAGATATTTTCTATGGTTTTAGATGGAAGGAGGTTTTTTTTTTCACAGATAAGCAGGGTTTAACTATCTCTCCATTTTAATGTTTATAAACATTTTCAGTGTTTTTTGACAACAATAAAACTGGAAGAAGTTACAAATAGAGAGGCTGAGGTTTGAGTTTTACCCCATAAGAGACAACACAACTCTCAAGGAGCCAAATTGCAACGGGCAAGAACTAGAGAGAGACAAGAACTGAAAACCATTACTGCTGTTTTAAAATCAAAAACCAAAGAGATAAACTTCTAATTGTTTTTCAACTGCTTTAATAGCCATTAAAAAAGACCTCAAGAACCAAGCCAAACCTATGACTGCTGCTCTGATAAACAGACTCCTGTGATAATGTGCACACTGCAGCACTCCTGTAATTATGGAATGGTTCTGCATGCTAACACTTAACCAAGAATTATAATGCACCTGCCCACAGTGACTATGAACCTATCCCCAGTATCAGTGAAGAAGGGAACACTGCAATCACTCTCATCTGATCCCATCTGACACAGGTCACTGATTTCTATTTACTTTTCAGAAGCGTGTGGGAAGTTTAATGAATGAACAAGTCTCATTTAAATAATCAATTGGCTATGCTGCAGTATCTCTTCCAAAGTAATTCACAGGGTCAGTACGCAGAGTTTTGCTGACTGAAGACAGGGTAAGAAGACAACCTTTAAAGTTTTTCAAAGATTACCTAAAAGCATTTCTATGATTTAGGACTTCAGCATTCTGTGGGAAGAGAGGTGTCAGTTTCATGAAAAACACTGATTTGCACATTTAGTCTAACAGGTATTTAGTATACATTGGCCTTCTTGTCCTGTTTTAAAGATACTTGAAGTTTTGTAACAAATGTACATATTTATGTACATTGAGAGCCAGAAAGTCAGAGTGAAAAGAACAACTAAATTAGGCATCATGATTATTGGTCTGAGCTCCTGCAGAGTCCATCCATGTCAAAACCAAATTACACTGAGCACTGTTCAGAGAACTGTTTTGGATTAAAACAAAGAGACATTAATGTACCCATCAACCTTTTCTTCAAAATGGTTACAAACACAAGCATTCATTTAGGCAAGAAAGACTACTAGCACAAATAATTTACTAAACACTTTAGTAATAATGTTAAACCACAAAAACCATGTACTATGCCAAGTTGTTCTACCTTCAACTTTCCAAAGGCAGCAAAAGTTTTGATGTGAAAACCAGTGAAGAGGGTATCACTGAAATAACTTATACATCTAAAAAAGAATCTGATCCATTACCATTACTGTAACTCCCCACTGTCCTAATTCCAGTGGGGTTCACTGAACACCACACCACTCAAAAGAGATGAGTGAAACAGCAGCCACTGCTCTAGAGCCGAATCAGTGCTCACCTAGACCTGTCAGGTGCCTGCATCTGCAGGAGATGGAATATTTCTTATCATCCTCTTGGCTGATGGGAGGACAAGTGCAATGTGTTGCTGCAGCTCCCAGCTATGAATACAAGATGTGACACCTGTCTGGACTTTTTGGGATGAAGCTGATGTGTTTTCTACTACCAGGTTAACAAGAAAAATGAGCCACCTACCTCTATAAAATGCATGGCTTAGGTTTTATGACAAACCTACCTTTTTAGGCAGCTTATTAGGTTTAAGAAATAATTACCACGTAACAGTAACACAACTTGTGTATGCCACACAGTTCAATACTCTTGAATAAGAAATTATTTTAACAATACCTTATCTTTTACTATGCTTTCTTGACATGCTGTACATTTTGGACTAGAAGATCTGAAGAGAAAAGAAAAGAGAAAAACTATTTTAGCTCATCTGAATTTTTGTAGTACAAAAATTTCCGTTTATGAGGCACTTCGTTTTGATTATTCAATATATTCTAAAACCATTAAAAGTGGATATAGTTCACTATAAGGAGAAAATACAATATTATTTCAATAAACTTGAACATCTGAGTTTTCAGTGGAAAGTATCTGGCATTCTCAAAGCAAAACCACCACAATGTCTCCAGACAACTGCACAGTGGTTTTCAAGTTGGCAAAACTCATTCCCTTTTTTTCAGGCTGCACCTGATCCAAAATTGTTGTCATTTCTCAATCTGTGAAAACAGGCATATTGTCTCTTCAATTATTGTTTTTCAAACAATACCTAATGAAAATTTACTTTCTCTGACAGTCAATTATACATCCTTGTAGGGTAAAAAGTATTTATGTCCACGTCCTTCAAGTCTGCTCTGGTTTTAGCAACTGTTACACATGCTTGCTGCCTCGTCTATCTGAACTACTGCCTTGTAGCTGTCTTGGTAAACTACCAAACTTGTGACCTCTCGGACAACAGGCAGAGTCAGGAGCAGGGCTGACTGTGAAGAGAAACTGGAGTGCAGAAAACCTGAGTTTCTACAGCTGTTTCTGGCTCCAACCTGCCAAGTGTTGTAGTGTAAACCCCTTAGGATCATAGAATGGATTAGGTTGGAAGAGAGCAAAGCTCATCTGGTTCCACTGCCCTGCCATGGAGAGGAACACCTTCCACCAGAGCAGGCTGCTTCTTTCAAGATGGAGTCACCATCCAGTGTTTAAGACTGGATGTGCCACTCAGTGCCATGGTTTAGTTGAGGTGTTAGGGCTGGGTTGAACTCTTGTGGTCTTGAAGGTCTCTTCCAGCCTAGTGATTCTGTTCCTTTTTAGCTCCTTTTCCTCACATGAAATGGGAACAGTTAAAATTATCTCCTTTGTAAAGCACCGAGATGAAAAGCATCAGGTAAAAGCTGTGTGAATTCTTCCATGAAGCACCTCACTGACAGGCTCTGTCTGCTAGCAGCAGTGCAAATCAATGTAAAAGGCTGAAAAAGTTCAATTATGTTATATATTCTGTATGGTTATTTCAAATCATCTCACTGGCTTCTGCTTTTCAAACCAACCATTTTGTGTCTCATCATATTTCTGAGCATCTTAAGTACCTTGAAGCTTCAATATCTGTAATGCTTTTCATAAGTCAGAAAAAAAAAAAAAAAAAGGAATCTAAACTACATCAGGGCATATAGTGTTTAATACAATGTCATGCTTTCCTTGCTCTTACTGAATTCACTCAAGCATCCAACTTGCTTTTTCAAACTACTCTTGCATACTGAGCAGGCATCTTTACTGCTGTATCTCCACTAACTCCCAATTCCTTGTCCTCAAACAACCCTGGAACAGAAGTTGCTAGCATACAATTACTGTGTTTGTGTATGCAGCAGCATATCAACAGTGAATGAAAAAATTTTGTGCCAAATACAGGACCAACATAAATCCATTTTACTCTCAACTTTATGACATGCTTTTTATTTAAAAAAATAAATAAAGGAGGGGATGTAAATTATATTTTAATAAAGGATTTGTTTACAACAAGCACTTAAATAGAGTGAAATAACTCAATGGCCTTAAGCACGTGTCCTTTTCAGTAACAGACTGGTTGGAAAGTCAGGAAGATAAAATTACACATATTCTAGCTACACTGTAATAAGCACATGTGCATGTCTCACAGCAGGGAAGGAAAACTGCCCAGACTCTAGCAATGCCAGAATTGTTACTGCTTAGATTGTCAAGGATCTGCTCTGCCAACCTGTTCACATCCAAGCATGGCAGGTGTTTGGTTTTTTACGGTCACTGTTATTAACCTTGTAAGAGTCTCCTAAAAACACATACTGAATAAGAAATAACTGCATTTCTTAAATACCACACCTCACTTCACACCATGTATCAAAAGAAAAGTTGGTGAGTTTTTTTGTTGTTGTTTTAAATTTGAAATGCTGTAGGCACAAAACCTGCAGGAGTGCATTAGTGAGCTATGGACCCTTGTGTTTGCCCAGGAGAGAGATTACTCTTTATCAGAAGATTGAGTATTGTAAGAACTTCCATACTCTTTTGCCATGCTGCATGTAGCCTTGACTTAGATATATTAGATATCAGACTACAGTATTTCCCAGTGATATATAAACCAGCATCTTGAGTCAGAGTGGTGACAAAAAGTAAACAGATCACCAAGGCCTCCGAAGTCAAATGCGCTCTCTGACAGTATGCAACATTCATCAAGCCAGGTATCTTCTGTATTTCTGCTTTTCCAGTAGTAAATGAACACATTTGGTGCTTATGTACCCCAGGAGACTGAGGTGTGCTGAATGGTCTACAAACATTACACAAAGTTTTGAAATCACATTACTGAATACAACCAGCAGTAACGCACCAAAGTTGAGAGGCAAAGAAATCTACTGATGCACAGGCACTTAAAACCTAGATACTCCCTGAATGATTGCACTTTTATTCTTATCTAGACTGGGAAAGACTGCACCTCTCAGCATCCATTTTACATCTCTGTTATTCACTCACCTCTGTGCGCTCTGGCCTAAACATCTCAGTAATAAGACGCCAGCCTTTCTGACCCTCCTGCAATCCACAGGACATGCAAGTCCCATAACAAACAGCTGGAAGGGCTACCGCTGGAAACTAACAGCTGGAAACTGCTCCACAAGCAGGTACATCTATCCAAGGGTCCCACCACCCATTCTGGGGCTGGGTCCACAGCCAGCTTAGGTATCACCACCCCAAGGAATGTGTACAAGCTCATGTCCTCACACAATTTACTGTGTGTATTTGACACCAGATTACCCAAGTTGGAAGTCTTGTGAAACAGCTACTCCATTTGGCCTCCACAGGGAATGAAATTCTTACCTAACGCATTTCTACACGTGATTACACCACCTTAACAACTGTTCCAACAATACTGATGGAAAGCTCAGTTGCCTTACCCTGACCCAGAATAGAGCAAAAATGTTTGCACCAGCTAACATATATAACACAGATAACAAATACTCAAGCAAGAAACAGTGGAAGGCTCAACATATTCCTAAAGCTGCAATGGTGCTCACAATAATGTCAGTAGTTCTTAACATTTAAAGGTATCAACATGCTCTACCAGAACAAACAACATACCTCAGCAAGGCATTCATGCAGGTTTCACAGAACCTGTGTCCACATTCAGTCTGTTTAGGATTGCATAAGATGAGGTGACATTTTTCACATTTGTACTTATCTTCCACGGCATTCACAAATTTCTCTTTGTAGCCACCTTGCTCTGGAACATAGATGGATGCTGATGGACTGCGGTCAGGATTGGCCCTCTGCTGTACCATTTCTACAGATAAAGGGGGTTCTGACTTCTTACTGGGGTCCATCCTCTAAGATAGTTTCTGTGAATCAAAAGTGAGAAAAACTGAGAAATGAGGACCTCTCTCACCATTTAAATAAAACAAACAGAAGCATCTGAGAGATTTCATAAAATCAGAAAGCATCAAGAACAGATCTGTGTTCACACACCACATGAAGATACATTTTACATACATTACTGCCTGAGTACATTTAGCATAGCAAATCTGTAAAATAGTCTACATATTCAAAGGCTCTAGAAAGCAAAGAATTAAAACCTGCTCCTGAAAATGAAGTGTTAATTATGGTCATCACTGTAGGAACGCATATGGGATTTTTTCATATCTTTCTCTCTCTCCCTCTGAAAAGTATTGCTTCATGTTGAAGTCCAACCATTAGGGGCAGCAAGAGGTGTGGTGAGGAAGGTGTTCTGGTACAGTACTGCACGTGATCCTGCTCAAATGCTACTGCAAAAGCACACAGCCACCAGTGTCCTACACAGGGTACCCAGAGCCTGCGCAGCCCCCCTGCCCACTTTTCCTGTCTGTTTGCAATAGCATAGTGTAAGACATTCTGCTTTAAGCTTGCTTTACAACACCACAAAAGGGTTTTACACACTAGATATTCTCCAACGTTTTCATGTTGTTTCATCTTTACCTGAAGAGAGCAGCTGAGCAAAGTCTAACTGATAGCAGAGAAGGGCCTATGTAACATGGCCACTTGATTAATTTACCAGGGCTAAGCACAACTGACAGGTAGCTGAGAAAATTATTAATCCAGCTGAAGAGTAAATTACAGTACCTATTATCTTGGACAATCCATCTTTGAGGTCAGCATGCAAAGCATCAGCAGAGCAACAGAGGAATAATATCCCTTAATATTTCAAGTTTTAAAATGTGTTTTCAATCATTTCCTAGCTAATCTTTTAGTCAAGCAAGCATAAGTGCTCTTAGAAAGGTTCAGCATATCCAGGAGAAAACACAGTTGGAGGAAGCAGAATGAAGAAATGAGGCTCAGTTCACTTCTCAAAGTATGTCCACAAACACCACAAAGGGAGTCAAATGCCTCACATTCTAAATACAGAAACCCTCTTGTACAGTTTTTGTGGTATCTTACCTTCCCTTGCTAAGCCCAAAATCACACATTTGTAATGAAACATATTTACTTGTAGGTAATTTCTGCATCTGGAATTTTGGTACAGAATTCTCCATGCAAACTAAATGGGTACAGAATTTTCTTTGATTTCTGAAGCCATTATTTACAGAAACAAAAGATAAAATCATTGTGACGCAATGCTGAGACCATTTCATGTTTTTACAACACCAGGTGAGCAAGGGTAGAGATTTTGAGTGAAGAATTCTCACTTCATTGCCCCCTTCCCTAGGGGAAAGCCTCTCTGATCTCCATCAGACTCAGAGAGAGCCCAAGGAACCCATCCTCAAAACTCAGCACACAGACCCAGTGATTGTGTCTTATTCTAAACCAACAAAACACAAACACAAAAAAAAAAAAGAAAAAAAAAGAAAAAACCCAACAGGTTTTATGAACTGAAAAGCTACTATAAATTCTGATCCATAATTTGAACTAATGTTAGTCTATTCCTTGTCTGCTCTTCAAAGACTGCAGAGACCAATGTCTTGACAGAACAATATGTGAAAGACTGAAAAGTCTGGGCTGAACTGAAAGTGACTCACACTTCTCATTAATGAGGAAATTCAGATTATTTCAGACCTTAGCTAGAGTTTCACCAGCAAGCATAAAAACCCAGCAGGTAAAAATGACACTGAAGAGGAAACTCAAGATTGTAACCAGCACAAAAGAAATGGGATTGATGTTGAGAACATGATTCAGACACGGAGGTTCACAGAAGTGCCATGAATGAGAAAGGAAAGCAGCTTACAAAGGTAGGCTAGATTTAAAGACTGCCCAAGGCGTGAGAGCTGCTGCTGTACATCAGAAGCTGGACATGGGCAAATGCAGTCATGAGCTCAGGACCTGACACTTTTCTGTGGTTATAAGAGAAAAGATTAGCAAGAGATGGAAAGAAGTTCAACTCCTTAAGTATCCAGACTGCTGAAACTTAGCTACCTAGGGACTTGCTTCCTATGTGTGGTTGGAAAAGCTTCATTTGGCACTTACAGTTTAGCAATCTGTAAATGTTTCAATTCCTTGATTTACAGATACTAATACCTCTTTTCCTTCTGCAGCTGTGTATTTTTTTTAAAATCATATTCAAGACCTCCACTAGTCTGGCAATTCTTGAAGTTAAAAGCCAACTTCAAGCATACTGATTTATAGGAACAACACAGGGAACATTACTTTCCTTAAAATGACAGAAGAAACAAGGCATGACCTGCTTCTAATCCACAAAAGAAATACAGAAAAAGAGGTGCTAAAAGAGATGCTGACAGGAGAATTGTCAAGTCAAGAGAGCACAAATTTCCCAAACTTGCAAGTCATAGTCCACAACTACTGAATGTCTGCTTCCCCATTAAGTTTCTTCTGAACATAAAGAAGCTAAAGATGATTGGAGATGTGAAGTCTTCCAAAAGCATGATTTCTTCAAGGAAATTGAATAATTAGTCACAAAGACTTAACACAGACAGCACCGAATGCCAAATGAGCAGCAGGTGAGAGTTTCACAGAGATCCAAAACTGCTTCAGGCTGGACTGTCAGCTGTCAAGAGAGATTTCACACCAGAATAAAGTGCACAGGGTACCACAGGACTCCACTTTTGGAACTGACATCTTGGATACATCTTGTCACAGAAAAGAAGCAGAAAGCACACTGACAAATAAAACATACTATGGGACATGCTTAACAGATTTGTCTGCCTTGGGTTTTGTGTTTATTTTATGAAGTATGTCAGACCAGAAAAGCTAAACAAGCTCAGCAATACAGCAGCCAGATTGGTGAGGAATTCTCTTCCACAATACTCTGAATGCCAGCATTTCCTTGTGCAGCAAAACTGGCGAAGCCATTCATGAAGTACTGTCCTAAAATACAACAGAGCATTGAGCCTGCAAGACCACCACAACCTTATTACAATGAACACAAGCTGTATTTAACAACGGGATGGGGAGAAGTGGTGTCTGCCTGTCTGTATGCAAAGAGCTCTGCCTTCATGCATATTAATTACATGCTCCTACACCTGCATGTGGGATCAGTGAACACAAGCACAGAAAATACAAACATTTCAGCTGCCACCCTTTTGCAAACAGCACGCTGTTATGATTTCCATGTCAATACAGGGTGTCAGCTGCAATGGCTTCTCTTCCTTTGCAGGAACCTTTAATAGCAGGACTTGGATTATTCCCCCACAATCAGGTTTCAAACTGCCAACAAGAAGCAATTTCAAGTCACACCTCAGTAAGGTACTCTGCACTTATGGCAGTGAAGTTAACATACTTCCAGAGAGCAGGGAGCATCCAAAACGGGTTAGTTCTGGTGGGGGTCTGTGATCCCTAAAGGCATGGCAAGGTGCCATCCAGCCAAAGATTCTGGTTCTTATTCAGCAAGCTAAATCTTAATGCCTAATTAATCACCACCTAGTTCTTACACTCCAGTTTCTTATCTATGGGAAAAGATCATCACAATGAAAGTATATGACTTTTAGATGTCTTTTAAAACTGTTAAACCTTGGACAAACACTTTTCAGGACAGATAAGCACATAAAAAAAGAGGCACAGTCACCAAGGTCGGTTCTGTCCACTGTTGCTTGTCTTTCAGCCACCTCTCCTGCAGCCAGCATATGCTAATACCCACACTTGAATGGACATGGTTGTGGCCATCAGATGGGTGACACCGTGACACTGCTTGCTCCAGTCTGGTCACTACTCTTGTTCAATACAAGTGGTACTTAAGCAAACGAGGCTGAACCTCAGCTGATACTTCAAACTGTAAATACTGCAGTGAAGGTCAAAATAATTTGCTGGTGCTTAACTAATACTAATATCAGTACAGAAACCTAGAAACTGGAAGCAAAAGTGAGTTTACCCACGAAGTTGTTCCGAGAATTAGGAAGCACAGGAATTCCCAAACAAAAGGCATTTTGCTCTTTCCTTATTCAAGCAAGCGTGTTGTTCTCACTGCACAAATAGCAAACATGCAAAAAATCTGCACTTGTGTTCTGTATCAGCACATATCTTTATGATTTGTTCTTAGGAAATAAAGCCAGTTTGTGACATTGACATACAATAAAGCTTCTATAAAAATTCAAAATAAATTTGCATCCTAATGAAAACAGAAAAAAATTAACTCTTATATAAATCTAAAACACTCCTAAAAATGTGACTGCACTAGGTACCACAGGATTTGGAACCTAGAAAGCTCTGCATGAAGATAGTTTCAGTATATTGACAATATGAAGCAAATAAGCTTTTGCCACTGCTTTAAAATTCAAAAAGAGCAAAAAGCTATTAGAAATAAATGTTTTCATTACAGTACCTTGGAAGAGAATAATGCATGACACTGTTTAATTTGGTTATTACTACAGGACAGCAAAGCTTTTTGATCAAATTACAATCTGCACCAAGAACAGGAGTTCCTCAAACAGAACAGCACTGCATGCACAATATCTAAATTAAGCTCTGAAAGAGAAACCTCAAGTGGGACAGGGAGCGTAAGATCAGAGCAGAAAAGTAACCTTTCCTCTTCAAAACATTTTTGTATCTAAAAGCACACGAACTTCAGCATCTCATCCTAACTAGATCATTTTTTTGGGTAGCCCGGGGTATAATTTTTCAGTCTAGCTTTATTGAGATAAGGGATTGTGGTTGTGCTGTCTCTCCTCTCAGCCTCCCAAAAACACATCAGAACCAAGTGGACAGTGTTTCCATGAAAATGAACAGCTATGAGGGGAACAGAAAGAGAAACTTAATGTAGTGTCCCAGTGAGCAAGAGTGTTGTGATAAGGTACGAAATGATGACACAGACACTGCTGCTCTCGAGGGGAACAAAAAAGAAGAACTTTATTTTCTGACTCTAACATTTATAGTTTTCCAAAGGTGACAGTGGATTGGAGGGTGACAGTGCCACCTCTCC